CATATATCTGATTAATGTTATTTGCCCAAGATCTAAAGAGGTTAACAGCTGCTCACTTCTATTTCCCAGTTCCTTGCCTTCGCCTCCCATTTCTGAAGATCACACTAGCGGGTCCACACACATTGCATTTTCTCTCATCCTACCAATTTATTTTGTACAATTCCATTTACAAGTGACAAAAATTCCCCACTGGGCTTTAAAAATGAAAGGCCATCTCATGTCACAATCGGCAATACATAACAACCACCCCAAGAATAAAACTGGCGAAAGCCCGTCGCCTTAAAAGGATGGGATCCTCAAAATGGTCATTGTTCCCATAAAAGATTTTGTTATATCACAATCCCGTATTTATTAAAGCAACTAACGCCCCACCCCCTCCTCACCCTCAGCTGCACAGCTGAATGGACAACTGTGTCCTGGGGCAGCAAAATCGGGTTTACATCACAAAATGGTGAACTGCGAAGGCATGTGTGTGACCAGTGTTTGCTAGGCCTTTGTTGCGGCTGCCTGTGAGGTCCCCGCTGCTGTTAGTTGCTGAATCTTATGGCTCATCATCTCTATTACAGCTGCAAAAGAAGAAACAAAGAAGAGTAAAGAACTTCACCCCAGCCACAGCTGCTCAGATCAAAATGGAGCCTCACCAATTCCAGGGCTTTGCCTGCCCTCAGGCCCCACCTTGCTTCATTGCGTGCTTCTCCTGGAGCGCCGGCTGGATTTTCTCCATCTGTTTCGTCAGGAAATCAATCTTCCTCTTGAAGAAATCTCTGGCGTCATCCACTGACTGCAACATCAAATGCACTTGGTGGATATCCTCAAAATAGCTTTCTAGACAAAGGATGCTGAGCCAGACCCTTAAACCGCTAAGGAGGCATATTCAAAACAATTATGAATTCTCCAATCTGGTGCCCTTCCAAATGCTGTGGACTACAACTCCCATCAGCCCCAGTCAGCAAAGGATGATGGGAGCTGTAGTCCAACAACATACGGGAGGCCCGACTTAAACCCTTAACCAGTCTGGTGTGCTCTGAATCTTTTATACTCGCACCTGCCATAGAGTCTGTCTCTTTGGATATACGAAACCCCTGCTAAGAAATTTTACTAGACTTACTGGAACTGTTTGACCTTCTCTTTCAAGTTTGTCAGACACAATGCCCAAAGAGGAACATTTGTTCCTTTTCAGGTTAGGCCTATTCCAGTAACAAGTCTATTCATGGGCCATTTCATATTTGATGCCGGATGGTGTGGTCGCTATCAAAAAACATGGATCTATCTTAAAATGCTGAAAGGGCCCATGGCATCAGCTCCCCAGCAACACACAGTAATCCATACTGTTGGACCAATCCACACTGGAATCCATTTACCAATCTTCTAGAGACAGCCAGAAAAAACAATGGGCAGAACTGAGCATCTGCTGGGACCAAAAACTGTTGAGGAGCCCATTGTTGGTCCCCAATTCCATTTTTCTTACTAATTCCCATGGAGGGAATGTGCTCTTCCAGGCACACTAGCAGCATAAATCTTTGATGCAATCTACAGGCACAGATATTACATACGAAATGGAAGCTTCCTCCTTAGCAGAATTCTATTTTAATGAACTGAATAGAGCCAAAGTTTTATGAGTCATTGGAAGTAAGAGAGTGTGTTTCTGTATGAACTTAAGAATGCTTAGCTTATTTTTATAGCTGTTATTTTGTTAATATTGTTATATAGGTTATAAATGCCTTGCTGATTTGTTAATCATATCATATGACTTATGCTGTTAATGTGGTTCTTAGCTTATTTTCTAGTTGCTGGTTTGTTAATATTGTAATTGTTTTGTTAATTATATTATATGATTTATGCTGCAATTGTGAGGTTCTATTATGTCATTTTTATTTATTGTTTGTAAGCCACTTTTGGGGTTCATTTGAATGGAAAAGCAGCAGAGAAATGCAATCCATCAAATCAAAACAATCCTATTTGTCAAGAAATCCCTTTCCTGGATCTCTGATTCAAATCCCCTGTTTATGAAGCCGGCTATGGTTATACAGTGGTATGGGAATGCAATTTGTACATTCTCAATGACATTGCCTCCCATCCCCTGGCCCAGACACAAATGATGGGAAATGTGACAAAGAGGGCGGGCTGATAAGCCTCCAGGGCCCCTCAAAAACTCATCCATATTGAGAGTCCCAGAAACAGTCCATTCAGGCAGAATACCAAAATCTGCCTTGAGAACGGTTCAACTCAACCCAACAGTTCAAGGCAAAAAGTACTGGAGCATTAGACCATAGCAGGCCCCAACATTTCACATGAACTCAAACCATGCAGCTGCTTTAATAAGAATTCCACGTGAATCTCAAGAACGGATGTCTTACCTTTTCTACATAGTAACCTGTTCCTACATCTATCAAGACATTGGTAACATCAGAAAGCTTCCCAGGAACGTACATCTGTGAGAGAGGTTAAGGAAACGCAGAAGGAACAGGGAGGAACCATGTGACATGCAGGTAGCCCACAACTTGTGTATGGCTCTTCCATGTGGACCACACGGATGCCCAAGCTACGATTTGCTAGACTGATGTCTTACCAACGGACGGAATGACAGCCAATACATAGAAGCTCAATCCAGACAAGACTGGATATTTTACCTTGATTGGTCAACAGCAGCCCAGTGAGCTGTTTTAGCCTGAAGATGCAAATGATCTTTAAGCCTGAGGTTGCAGCACCACATGATATGATGAGGTCACAGTTATAAGCTGACATCACGGACACTCAAGTCTCCATTATGACATATGTAAAATATCCAACATTATTAAAGGCATGAGTTGTCAAAACAACTGGGGATACAGTTCCCAAGGGGTGCCTTCTCCAATTGCAGCCGGCTTACTTAAACCATTCAACTTTGGTTTAAACAAATGTGTACCGCTTATTCCAAAACCAATCATTTGTCCAAAAACAGTTGGGGTAAAAAGGTAAAGGTAAATGGACCCCTGACCATTAGGTCCAGTCATGACCGACTCTGGGATTGCAGCGCTCATCTCGCTTTATTGGCTGAGGGAGCCAGCGTACAGCTTCTGGGTCATGTGGCCAGCATGACTAAGCCACTTCTGGCGAACCAGAGCAGCGCACGGAAACGCCATTTACCTTCCCCCCGGAGCGGTACCTATTTATCTACTTGCACTTTGACGTGCTTTCAAACTGCTAGGTTGACAGGAGCAGGGGCCGAACAATGGGAGCTCACCCCGTCGCGGGGATTCGAGCCGCCGACCTTCTGATCGGCAAGTCCTAGGCTCTGTGGTTTAACCCACAGCGCCACCCGCGTCCCTAACAGTTGGGGTAGTTGGACAAAAATCAAGAACCACGGGGAATAGGAGTACACAAGTGCTGAAGATAAAAAATCCAGACGGCCAGTGCAAGATGTATCTGCTCAACCCAGCTGCTGAACAACTCCCAAAGGCTAAAGCCTTTTACTCTGAACCCTGAAATGGGCTCCAGAGAGAACTAAGATGTTTCTACTCTTCTACTCTTCTAATAAGGTATCTCCACAAATGTGGTCAGATGAGAGGATGGAAGGATTCTATGAGAGATGCTGCTCCCTGAAAAGTTTTATGCCAGGGCTCGGGAGCCTGTGGCTCTCCAGATATTGTTGGACTTCAACTCCTTTTAGGCCCATCCAACAAGGCCAATGGTTAGGATGATGGGAGCTGTAGTTCAGCAACATCTGCAAACCACAGGTTCCACGTGCCTGTTCTAGACACTTTGTTGCAGATTAATCCAACGGTCAAATTATAGGAAAAGAATGGCTGCTTAAGGGAGAAAGGTTATGCGCGGTAGGCTGTGTTGCTGCCATACCAACAACTCCTTGCAGAAAGGATACAGAGCTGGAAAGTGGGACCAGTAGCTCTTTACCTGATGAGACAAAAATATAGGACATTTACATTACAGAGCATCTCCACAATAATGATTTGTCAAAGTCAGAATCCAATTGTGCCATGTAATTTATTGGTTACTTTTGTAAAACATAAAAAAACACATCTGAGTTGAAGGAACTACCATTGAGCTCCTTCATATCATCTTTCATACCATTTTCTAAGAAACCACAGTAAGGTATGTTTCGCTCATATTCTAAGGAGTAGAACAAGGAAGATGTTTGACCTAAAGTTAACACAATCATTATACATCACTACTAACTTTTAGTATTTGTGTCAATGTTCTGCATTTTCATTGTTGTAACCCACTTTGAATTCCTCTTTTTCGGGGGCGGGAAATCAGGATATAAATTTTAAAATAAAGAGTCACTTGCCTTCATTGGTTTTATTCAAAACTGTCAGACAGTCCTTGGCTTCCACATATTTTGTCTGCACCACCTTAAGTTGTGCAATGGATGAAGAAAGGAACTCCACTTCCTATAGAAGGCATACAAAAATCAAGGCTCAGATTCAATAACTTTGTTGCCACCAGGGGCCACTATTCTACTATAAGTACTACAAACATTACTCTAGTAATGGTGGGATATTGCTTCAATGAAACACCAACTGCTCCCATCAAAAAGCCCTGTAAGCGTTGGAGGACACTCACAAAGTTCTGCAATCACTTGGAGGAGGGGAAAGACTACAAAGTGAGGGGGGTGATTCATCCCTCACTTCCCAATCTCTTAACAGGAAGATAACATCAAAATGTTGAAAGGATTACTGAAGTGAAGAAGACAATGAAGACTGAGGCTACCTGATCTTCCCATAGCATCACAAACCAGGTCAAGGAAGTGATAAAAAAAGAAAGCATGCATTTACTACACAAATATTTGCAAGGGATTGAATCTCCACAGTAAAGAGGTAGGTAGGTTACCAAAAAATCTAAAGTTCATGGAGATCCAATCTTACTCAAAGCCCTCTGCTTCAAAAGCAGTATGGTACTCCTGAGAGTAAGGTAAAGGGAACCCTGACCATTAGGTCCAGTCGTGGCCGACTCTGGGGTTGCGGTGCTCATCTCGCTTTAGTGGCCGAGGAAGCCGGCGTACAGCTTCTGGGTCATGTGGCCAGCATGACTAAGCCACTTCTGGCGAACCAGAGCAGCACACGGAAACGCCGTTTACCTTCCCCCTGGAGCGGTACCTATTTATCTACTTGCACTTTGACGTGCTTTCAAACTGCTAGGTTGACAGGAGCAGGGGCCGAACAATGGGAGCTCACCCCGTCGCGGGGATTCGAACCACCGACCTTCCTAGGCTCTGTGGTTTAACCCACAGCGCCACCCGCGTCCCCTCCTGAGAGTAGGGATACCCAGATCCCCTGAGGCTCAGATCCTGAGCTTCACAGGATGATGAGGCAGGAAGCTCAGAGGCGTCCACTAAATGCTGCTCAAGTGAAGAATTTAGCTTTCTCTTCCCACCCCCAGCCCTTGATTCTGGCCCTTCTCCCTTCCACTGGAGACCTTGCAAAAAGGAGGCCGAGCTGCGTCCTCATCCACACTGGATGAGAGGGAGCTGGGCATGTTTAGCCTGGAGAAGAGGAGGTTAAGGGGTGATATGATAGCCATGTTCAAATATATAAAAGGATGTCACATAGAGGAGGGAGAAAGGTTGTTTTCTGCTGCTCCAGAGAAGCGGACACGGAGCAATGGATCCAAACTACAAGAAAGAAGATTCCACCTAAACATTAGGAAGAACTTCCTGACAGTAAGAGCTGTTCGACAGTGGAATTTGCTGCCAAGGAGTGTGGTGGAGTCTCCTTCTTTGGAGGTCTTTAAGCAGAGGCTTGACAACCATATGTCAGGAGTGCTCTGATGGTATTTCCTGCTTGGCAGGGGGTTGGACTCGATGGCCCTTGTGGTCTCTTCCAACTCTATGATTCTATGATTCTATGACTGGGGAGCATGCTCCCACTGAGTCCCGTAGAACGTACTTTCAAGTATCATAGAATTGTAGAGTTGAAACGAACTCAAAGGGTCATCTAGTCCAACCCCTGCAACACAGGAATCTCAAATAAAGCGTCTATGACAGATCAAAAACCTCCAAGGAAGGAGCACCCACAACTTCCCAAGGGAGTCCCATCCACTATCGAACAACTCTTAGCTGTCAGAAATTACTTCCTTATGTTTAGCAGGAATCTCCTTTCTTGTAACTTGAATCCGTTGCTTCAGGTTGTGGCCTCTGGAGCAAGCTCGCTCCATCCTCCATGTGACAGCCCTTGAGATAGTTGAAGGTGGCAATCCTAACTCCTCTCGGTCTCTTCTTTTCCAGGTTAAACATACCTAACCCCCCTCAACCATTCCTCATTTTGCTGGGTTTCCAGACCCTCGATCTGCCCTCCTTTGCTTCTAAGCATCTTTCTTAAACTGTGGTGCCCGGAATGGGACACAGTTCTTCCAGGCGTGGTCTGACCCAAGGCAGAATAAGAGCAATCCGATGACTTCCCTTGATCCCCGGGGCACTGTATTTCCGCTGAGGCGGCCTAGGACAGCATTGGCCTTTTTTGATGGGGTGGTGTGATTATTCTTGTTTGAATTGTGACCCAAACTTTAATGGCAAATTAACAGCACCCATGCATTTTTAAAAACCATTATGTACAGTGGTACCTCAGGTTAAGTATTTAATTCGTTCAGGAGGTCTGTTCTTAACCTGAAGCACCACTTTAGCTAATGGGGCCTCCTGCTGCCGCTGCGCTGCCGGAGCCCGATTTCTGTTCTCATCCTGAAGCAAAGTTCTTAACCTGAGGTACTATTTCTGGGTTAGAGGAGTCTGTAACCTGAAGCGTATGTAACCTGAAGCGTATGTAACCTGAGGTACCACTGTATTTTGTTTTCTACAGGACACACTGCTTTCAAAACACGGGCATAAATGGAACCTGTAAGACACACTTGAATTTTTCCTTGCCATGGGGCATTTCAAAAATGCCTTAAATCGAGTGCGGGGAACCTGGCGGTTGGGACTCCAACTCCCATCATCCCCGACCACTGGCCATGCTCGCTGGGGCTGATGGGAGTCGCAGTCCAGCGGAGCCTTAGAAGGTGGTATTTTTGTGGGGCGGGCAAAGGGAAGCCCAGGTCCCCCATCTCTGCCTTAAATCCCCGATTCATTTCCTACCCCATGGCTGCCTTAGGCGCGGCCGCCCAGCCTCCCTCTCCCGCCTCAGGCTAGTTTGAGCGGGAAGCGGCCGGCCGTTCATTCCCCACCCCACCCTCTCGCCCCCACTCGCTAAGGCTCGTTTCCTCACCTGGTCCAGCTGGTTCTTCAGCACCTCCAGCTGCGGCAGCGAAAGCTCCGTGATGTTCACCTGCTGCGCCATCTTGGGAGGCGAGGGAGGGAAGGCGTCCTCTCCAGCCGGCGGAGTCTATGATCAGTTCGCCTATTGGGACTCGGCACCTACCGGAAGCTCCGCCCCGCCTCCCTAGCAACGGCCAAAGAGGAAAGAGCCAGCCGGCAATGCCGCACGCCGCCCTCACTTCCGGTTGCATGTCGACGTCCTTCTCCTGCGGGGCGAGAAGGCGAGGAGCTACATAGAGAATTTATGTAAGGATGTCCAGGCCCGGCCCGGTGATTCGTGATCCGGCTCAAAGTTGCTTTGCTCCGTTGGACGAACCTGTTTCTTAATTTTTGTTAAAATCAGTGGAAGGGGAGACTGGGGAGGGAGCTTGTGACTTTGCAGATAAAAGGGAGAGGAGTTGACACTCTAAAAAAGGCTGCATAACAGGCAGAAGGGGAAGGAATGGAGGCAGTGAGAGTTGTTACTTTCTTGGGCTCCATGATCACTGCAGATGGTGACAGCAGTCACAAAATTAAAAGACGCCTGCTCCTTGGGAGAAAAGCAATGACAAACCTAGACAGCATCTTTAAAAGCAGAGACATCACCTTGCCAACAAAGGTCCGTATAGTTAAAGCTATGGTTTTCCCAGTAGTGATGTATGGAAGTGAGAGCTGGACCATAAAGAAGGCTGATCGCCGAAGAATGGATGCTTTTGAATTATGGTGCTGGAGGAGACTCTTGAGAGTCTCATGGACTGCAAGAAGATCAAACCTATCCATTCTGAAGGAAATCAGCCCTGAGTGCTCACTGGATCCTGAAGCTGAGGCTCCAATACTTTGGCCACCTCATGAGAAGAGAAGACTCCCTGGAAAAGACCCTGATGTTGGGAAAGATGGAGGGCACAAGGAGAAGGGGACGACAGAGGACGAGATGGTTGGACAGTGTTCTTGAAGCTACCAGCATGAGTTTGACCAAACTGTGGGAGACTGTGGGAGACAGGAGTGCCTGGCATGCTCTGGTCCATGGGGTCACAAAGAGTCGGACACGACTAAACAACTAAACAACAACAGGCAGAAATGCCACAGCATTGTTTCTTCATGATGGGGTGGTACGACTATTCTTGTTTGTGATCCAAACTTTAATGGCAAACTAACAGCACCCATGCATTTTTGTAAACCATTGTGTATTTTGTTTTCTACAGGACATACTGCTTTCAAAACACTGGCATAAATGGAACCTGTAAGACACACTTGAATTTTTCCTTGCCATGGGGCATTTCAAAAATGCCTTTTAAAAAAAAGTCATCTTAAGCTCTAGTTTCTTTTGGGACGGGGCAGGCATGCATGTTTCAAAGCAGTGTCACCAAAGGGAGTTTCTAGGCCTGCCCACTTCTGATTTTTTTTTTTTTTATAATAATTTATATTAAAGTTTCAATCAGAAATTAAACAACAAAGAAAGAAAAAAAAACATCAAAAAAGATACACAAATACACCATACAAATCTCAAAGAGAAAATAAAAAAAAACACAAAAGACAAAAGTCAACAATAAAGAAGAACATAACAATTAAAAACAATATCTCTTTTCCATTTCCGTTTTTAAATTTACTTATTTTCTGGACTTCCTCATACCTCCCTCTTTTGTATTCCAATCCAAATTGTTTGTCCAGCAATTTCTTTTCCACCTTTTTAATCCCAGTCTTTAATTTAATATAATATTGAAATATATAACTTCAACTTCTTTAAACCTAATCTTTAGTCTTAATGTAATGTAACATTAAAATTTTACCTCTTAATTGTCAAATTTCCATTTCATTAAACATATTTAATCCTAATCTTTAGTCTTAATCTGTCATTAACCTTAACCTGTACAGCTGGAAACTGCTTATTTTCAGTCCAACATCACTCTAACATTCTTTAATTTTGCAATGTTTCTGAAGATAGTCTTTGAATTTCTTCCAATCTTCCTCCACCGACTCTTCTCCCTGGTCGCGAATTCTACCAGTCATTTCCGCCAGTTCCATATAGTCCATAAGTTTCATCTGCCATTCCTCCAGCGTGGGAAGTTCTTGTGTCTTCCAATACTTTGCGATAAGTATTCTTGCTGCTGTTGTTGCATACATAAAGAAAGTTCTATCCTTTTTTAGCACCATTTGGCCGACTATGCCCAAGAGAAAGGCCTCTGGTTTCTTAGGGAAGGTATACTTGAATACCTTTTTTAATTCATTATATATCATTTCCCAGAAAGCCTTAATCTTTGGGCACGTCCACCAAAGGTGAAAAAATGTACCTTCAGTTTCTTTACATTTCCAACATTTGTTATCGGGCAAGTGATAAATTTTTGCAAGCTTGACTGGGGTTATGTACCACCTGTATATCATTTTCATAATATTCTCTCTTAAGGCATTACATGCCGTAAATTTCATACCTGTGGTCCACAACTGTTCCCAGTCAGCAAACATAATGTTATGTCCAACATCTTGTGCCCATTTAATCATAGCCGATTTTACCGTTTCATCCTGAGTATTCCATTTCAGCAGCATGCCCACTTCTGATTTTTACACCAGTGCCTGTATATTTTCTCTTAACTCATGGAGAAATTCCACTATTTATGACCCAGAATCTGAATAATCAAATCAGGAGGCCCTTGGGCAACTCGTCGCTGGATGAGGTGGAGGTTTTTCCATCATCTTAACTGTAAAAGGTAGTTTTAGTTGTGTTCAATGAAGCCTATTTGTAAGAACATAGTTGTAGGGTGCCATATCGCAATTTATCTATGCCAATCCTCCAGGAACTGCCAAAGGGAAAAAATTAAAACCAAGCAATACAAATACGAACAGGGGCATGGAAATAAAAGGACTTTTCATGTACTGAGATCCTAGAGAGGTTAATACTTTAGTATGTCCATTTCTGTTTTTCGAATGGAAACGGGGGGCGGGGGGAGCCTTTGGTGTTGACTGAAGCTCAGCTTTGAGATGCTTTGTAATATAACCTGTCATTTATAGGTTAAGGTAAGCAGTACAATCCATAAAAAACAGCCTTTCCCAAGCTGGTATCCTCCAGATGTTTTTGGATTACCACTCCCTTCGACCCCAACCAGTGATCATAGAAAATGGATCCCCTCATGATATGGAGAGTATCATGGTTTTAACACACACACTTTGCATGCCTCTGACATTCAAGGTTGGTTCTGGTGCTAAGCTCCAGAACTATTCTTCACCCTGTAACTACCAACCCTCATCAAGGAAAGTAGCATTTAAATTCATATCAAAACCGAACACAAGACATTTGATTACTAGAACACTGTGATACATGAGAGAAAAGGATCACCTTCATTATTCTTCCAGACATCCAATATCCTTTCCAAACATCCCACACGTTGTGGCTATAGTAAAAATATCACACATCTCTCTGGGATGCAAGTTGCATTCCTAATGGTGGTACTGGGGGGCCATTTATGTTACCTGGTCCTTGTCTGTGTGCAGGTAACTACTAAATCATTTGTAACAGAAGGTTACATAGCACAAAATTATTGAATATCCTAGTGCAAAACCTGGGGACTATCAAGGGCGCTCAATTTTACATTTGTAAAGCAAAAGTGCCTAACTATCTGCTGAGAAAAATACATTTATTCTAGAGCTTTTGAAATGAAGCAGCTTGGTTTCTCTGGTGGTCTGGGGCACACCTACAATAAATCCAGGAAGTGTCTATACAGCTCTATGCTCCTATTTCTGTAGACAAAACTGTGCCTAAGGTTAGTATTCTTTGAAAGGTTCTGCACCAAGATAACCCAAATTATGACTTAATGTGGGAACATGTGCATATTATGCAACATTCTTCATTTTTTGCTGTTTCTATTTTTGTTTTAAACTGTTCAGTGTAATTCTCCTGTTCTGCTCATCATGGTGAGGGGGTAAGGAGAAAATGGTGTGGGAGTATTATAAACCCACAAGAGAAGATAGACAGGCATGCAGTAGCTGCTTAGGTCAAACCAGAACAGAATATTAAACCAGCATGGTCAAGTGCTAGAATGGTAAATCCATGTTCGATTTTAGAAAGACCCAGGAATCATCAGCCCAGCACTAGATTTTTGTCACCTGTTCCAAGCTTAACCAGTTTTTCTCCCCCCTCTGCCAAACCCACACACACTTTATTTGTTATAACTTTTATTCAGGCTTTGAAACATTAAAATACAAATCAATTTTAAAATAACTTAATTAATCACTGGAAATGCAAACTGTACACTGTGCAAACACTACATATTGCAAAGAGCAGCAGCTTAACTAGGAGCATCCCGTGTAAAGGCAGTGCAGACTTTCCACTGAAGGTCAGGTAAGGTAGTTGGTGACCAACCCAGCTTGCATAAGGCCAGATATTTTATCCTTCTCCCCAGCAGCAGTTTCCATTTAAGGCAGTTCAGCGTTTACAACAACAACAAAATAGTAATTTGAGTCCTTTCAAATCCCTCCCACCAGAAACCAGGTATCATGCTTTTGCCCTGTTTTCTACTGCAGAGACACTGGTAAGCCATAGGCTATTGGGGCAGCACCAATCATATATTTGAGTCTGGGGGCATGGCGGGACTGTATGACATATTGGAGGAATGGCGCTCCTGAACCTGCCTTGAGCCAGTTCTTCAGAAGTGCTTCCATGTAGCGATCGATGTCTCGGTCAGTTACATCCCAGAGGTTACCCAGCACTAGGGGACTAGGGGTTGAGGGAGAAGGAGAGAGAGATCACATGTACAGGTCATTAAAAATATATATATCTAAATCCTATGTATATAATAGGTGTCCAAACAAAGCGTGAAACTTCCAGCTTCCCCAGAAAGCACTGGATAATGACTAGGGGAAATTATGCCATGGGCTTCATTGCCCCAGGCAAAATTTATTTCAGGGTCAAAGCTAGCAGTCAGCAACTCATTTTTTCTTTTGTCTATTCCTTTCTCTCTCCCTAACAGTTAGGCTGAGAAAAAACCCTTTTCTTCTGGGGATGAGGAGCACAAGGTCCTGGGGAAGATCTAAAAGGCATGGTAGGCCACCACAGGCTCACAGACTGGGGGTCCCCACCTGTGGTCTAGGGCCAGAGCTGGGGAACCTGTGGCCATTCAAATATTGCTCAGCTACAGCTTCCATCAGCCCAAGCCAGAATGGCTTATTGTAACGAATGTCGACAGCTGCAGTCCAGTAACACCAGGAGGACCTCAGGTTCCTCCTCTACCACTGGTCTAGGACCAGAAGCATGGAATCTTATCAAGATCTGCCTCCTGGGCAGAATTTGACAGGTGGGTGGAGTCGTCCCCCCCCCCCAAGATGCAAGGATTGCCGACTCATTTGATAAAGAGAGGCAGGGCCAACAAAGGATGCGGTAACTTACCAGCCTGCCATCAGGAACCGGAGGACAGCACCAGTTCCCTCCAGGTTGCCCTGCACTGCTAGGACAGCACTGCTGCAGCCGAAAAGAAGTGCCACGGCCCTGCAGTCCACTCTCAGGATGGTGTCCACAAAACGGGCACCAGCACCATGCCCAGCGTAGCTACAGGAAGGAAAGAACCATCATAAAGTAAAACAAAACACAAGCCCACTTGGACCAGAAGCATAACTCTCCCCTCTTCCACAGCCTCCGCTGCCTGCCACAGAAAAGCAGGCTTAAGTGGCAATCCATGCGGCCTCAGTGAATGCAAACAAGGGATTGTGTAATGCACCAACCTGTTTACATTCCGGAGAGGGTTTTGTGTCTGGCACTAATGAGCAACTTGAACAGACATTCTGCATCTCAAGGGGAACAAGGGTTGCTGGGAGATTGCACCCCACCTTCTCTAACGATGACCACTGCAGAAAGCGTGTGGGTGGGCAGGCAAGGAACATAGGAACCTGGTTCCAGACACTAGCTAGATGACATGCTCAAGTAACACCAGTCATGGATGGCAGTGGTCTTATGAATCATTGACCTGGCATTGCACAGCAGCACCTTCAGGTCATGTGGGTATCCCTTGCTGACTCCAGTATCCGTCCAGTCAGGACCAAACCCGGTATGGGGTAACTGTGCCCCTGAAGGACCAGGTGCGCAGCCTGGGAGTCATTCTGGACTCACAGCTCTCCATGGAGGCGCAGGTCAATTCTGTGTCCAGGATAGCTGTTTATCAGCTCCATCTGGTACGCAGGCTGAGACCCTACCTGCCCGCAGACTGTCTCGCCAGAGTGGTGCATGCTCTAGTTATCTCTTGCTTGGAATACTGCAATGCGCTCTATGTGGGGCTACCTTTGAAGGTGACCCAGAAACTACAACTAATCCAGAACGCGGCAGCTAGACTGGTGACTGGGGGCGGCCGCCGAGACCATATAACACCGGTCTTGAAAGACCTACACTGGCTCCCAGTACGTTTCTGAGCACAATTCAAAGTGTTGGTGCTGACCTTTAAAGCCCTAAACGGCCTCGGTCCAGTATACCTGAAGGAGCGTCTCCACCCCCATCGTTATGCCCGGACACTGAGGTCCAGTGCTGAGGGTCTTCTGGCAGTTCCCTCGCTGCGAGAAGCCAAGTTACAGGGAACCAGGCAGAGGGCCTTCTCGGTAGTGGCACCCGCCCTGTGGAACGCCCTCCCACCAGATGTCAAAGAGAAAAACAACTACCAGACTTTTAGAAGACATCTGAAGGCAGCCCTGTTTAGGGAAGCTTTTAATGTTTAATAGGTTATTGTATTTTAGTGTTCTCTTGGAATTATTATTATTATTATTATTATTATTTAACACTAGGGAGATTGCTTTGCACTTCCAGCATACAAATGTTGCTCTGTGGCTGAAAGAGGGAGGAAGTTTGGGTGGGCATTCTGGCCTGTAGTTGGTCGGAGGAACAGGGGCAACTAGGAGGTCAGTCTCTGCTCTTGCTGGCTGGGGCTGGTGGGAGTTGGAGCCCAGAGGTTCCTTGCTCCTGTTGAGAGGAAGAACATCTCTTCATTTTATCAATGTCAGGCTGACCTCCCTCTATTCATCTCCCTCCCCACTCCACTTCCTTAATGAGTCTTAAATTGCAAGCCTGAAAGACAGGGGCTGTGCCTTATTCTGATTTCAACACACTGCCTATTTAATGTAGGTTCATAGGAAAATAAGCATGCAATGATTTCAAGAGTGGAGTCTCCTTTAAACCAAGGGAGACATATTAAAGGGTCATTAAGTTGCCTGATGGTAGTTTAGGGAAGCTTTTAATGTTTAATAGGTTATTGTATTTTAATATTCTGTTGGAAGCCACCCAGAGTGGCTGGGGAAACCCAGCCAGATGGGCGGGGTATAAATAATAAATTATTATTATATATTATTATTATTATAAGTAGCTGAGGATGATTAAGAAGAGGAGCTCATCTGCCCCTGGTTTTTGAAGTCTAATTTTCACACACCCTGTTCCTGGGTTATTATGTGCTCATGTTCAGTAGTGAAAGGACCAGACAACAGTGTTAAATACCTTTAAAAATAACTTGGCTCTATCACTATATGTTTCTCTTTCCCTCTATCTTGCTTCTCTTGAGATGCCTTAGCTCACGTTTTTCAGGGCCCTACTAGGCAAACCTGCCTAGAAGGACCTGGTCATCTGTCATGGATGCTTTATCTGAGTTTCCTGCAGTGTGGGGGGGGTTGGACTTGATTACCCTTGGGGTCCCTTCCAACTCTGCAATTATTTGATCTTGCACAAGAAGAGCAAAGAGCAAAACAGAGGAGAATACTGCCCAGGCATCATGTCAATACAGACACAAAATGCGTTGGTCCTACCTCAATAGTTATGAGTTAAATTTGTCAATTGCCCCCAAGCAGCATGCTTTCCTGTCCCCCTTACATCCTGTGTAAGGATGTCAGCAAGATAGGATCAATGCAATCTCCATCACTGGCTTAGGCAGCACTACATGATGTATGTACTCACATATAGAGATCACGTTCTTCAAGAGCTGACGGCACTTGGTCTGCACTGGGACTCTCTCCTACCACTCCTGTCCATCCAGGCTCACTACCAAGCAATTGCCGGGGGGGGGGGCAGAGAAGAAACATTAGACAGTTAGTAAGAAGGGCACTTTGTCTAGCACCAGGGGTAGGGCAGCAGATTGGACTACAGTTCTCACAATACCTAGCCATTATGCTATGTTGAGCTGACGGGAGTTGGAGCCATCAACAAAATCTGGATAGCTACAGATTCCCCATCCCTAGTCAAGCAGACTTTGTAAATTCTGGTGGACCCCAAATCAGCCTGCTGGTAACCCGTGCGGGGAAATCCGGCTTCGAAAAGACCTCTGCGTGACTTGTGCACACATGCAGATAATTACCTCTGAAACCAGTCTTTGAACATTCCCTCCGTCCCAGGAAGGTTTGTGTGTGGATTCAAGACATAAAAGGTGCTGCTGCTGTTGACACCGCGGTTTAGGATAGTCTCTTCCTGATACTGTTAAAAGCAGATCAGAAAAACAGCTTTATTAGATGGGATAAAGGCAGAGGTTTTGGTACAGGGAAGAGATTTCACCCCGCAAAGGTTTTTGCTAGATGTAGCCTTGGTACAATGAGTGTGTCATCTCCAGGGCCAGAAGGGGGGGGGGGGTGTTTGAGAAGAAGAGTGAAAGTAAGTAGTGGTTTCTAGCGGGCAATACCAGGCTTATTGCTCCTTCCCATGACTAGCAACAACCTGAAGTCACCCTGTTAAATCTGCAAGCTGACTTAACACAAAACACAGAACTAAGCTTCCAAAAGGTGCTGAACTGAAATCTATTAGGGAAAAACACAAGCACGCAGCCTTGCTTGAATCTAGTGAGCTCAATGTCTCATTCAGAATCTGGGGAAAGGGGCCAAGGGATCCTGGATCGAAGCTCAGTTCATCCACCAGCACACATCTCTCCTCACTTCCTCCAAAACTTGCAACCTATGAAAAGTAAAACCACACACAGTGCCCCAGAGACAGATAGCTAGGATCCCTTTGTAGGGCACTTGGGCAAATTGAGCCATGCTTCATTACACAGAGGAAGCAAAAGCAGCCTAATGTCACCTCTTACTCCGTTTCACAGGTCTTTTAAATAAAGGTATTTCCTAGCCGCTACTAAATATCCTTTTTACGAATCACCAAGAAGGCAGACATGGAGCATCGTGCAAACAAAAGCTGCGCTACTTAACAAAACTAACGTTGCTGTAGCTATTCAATCCATCTTTAAAAAGGTGTAGGACAAAAACTACGTCTGGATCATGCCTTTGTGCCTTGGGCAGGGCAGGGGAGTTCTTTATACCTTTTTTGTAAGAGAATAGCTGAGCAGGAACCGCAGAGATGGTAACCGGGTCACGGAATGGTTTTTCAAGCATGGCATGTTTTCCCAGGGAAGCTTTTGCAGGTGCTGGGGGGGGGGGAAATGATCAGAAATTAAGCCTTGATCTCCCCTCCGTACAAGAGGGGACTGCTGGGCTCCTTCAATGGAGTAACCTCAGTCGGGGTGGGGGGAGGTTGGGGGACATAATTCCAGCCCATTAAGGGAAGCCAAGGATGCCTTATCACCAGCCCTCCAATATCTGGCAGGCTGCTTCTGACCTGGACCGCCAGGGAAAGGAAAGCAATGAGCTGAACCCTCAAATGTTGCTGTTGAACGAGCATTTGGGGAGTGATGTTGGGTAGCGCAGAAGGTGCGACCGCACCCAACAGACTCCAATTCCCATTTAATAAGAGATGCGTTTCTGCTTCTCCCAGGAAAAGTACCCAAGGAGCAGGGACTCTGCAAGGTTGAAGGCTATCTGCTCACCTGTCGTACCTAATGGGGAAATGGCCTTCACTTACTTTATCCAGCACAAGGACCAAGTGGCCACTCGATGCCTGACCAGTACAGGATCCCATTTTGTCCACTGCCTCCTGCAGACAGTTCTGGGCTCTCTCGGGCTGAGCTGCGTTGAGCCCCCGTGCCAAGCACTGTACATGTTGTGGGGTCAAGAGATGCGAGCCAGTCAGCATGGCCTGGTGGAGGAAAGCAAAAATTAAGATGCAAGGCCATTTTGGACACCCACAACCCCAGTGAGGTGCTGCTATCTGTCACCACAACCATTTGTGCAATTCTTAACTCAATATTTGCTTACCGGTACTTACAAGCACTTTAAAATCACTTAATATTTAAAAAGAGAGATTACAAATAAGAGGGTTTTAAATCTCCAAAAGCGGTATGCTGAAATAAACATGTAAGCTGTAAAACAGCATCGTAAACACGAAAATTAAGAAATAGCTATTTATTAAGAAATAATTTATTGTTATTTTAAATGGTAGGGAGAAGATATAGTGGCTAATGTGCCACATGAGTAAAGATTAAATGCACCCGAGATTTTTTTGTTGAGTTTCCAGGGAGGGGTGCATGGCATAAGCCAGCCAGATGGGTGGGGTTAAATTAATAAAATAAAAAATGCATACACACATACATACATACATACATACATACTGTACATGCTGAGAGACAGATTGGTTATAGGAGAATTCTCTCTTAATATTAGAATAAGAGGTCACCATGCAAAGCTATAGGAAGTAATTTAATAGCCATCAGCACAAATATTTCTGCTTTCCAGATACAACAATTCCCCTTCTCTTCCCAGCCATGCACTGTTCTGGGTGTTCTTCTGACACCCCAGAGCCAATTTTGTGGGGGAGGAGAGGTGAGAAAGCCCAGTTGTACAAGCAAGTCCTTGCACGGGGCTTCCGCTATCATGACTTGTTGGGCAAATCACACCCGATGTTTGCAACAGAACCAGAAGGACCCATTTTAAAAAATAAACCAATAAAAAACCAAAGCATTTCACACAAAGTGTAACTTACAGAATTCACTGCAACAGGAAGAGAGACGACAGCCACTAGCTTTAAAACAATCGAGGGGATTGGAAATACTCATGGGAGCATGAGTATATCAATAGCTAAACAGAACCTCCATGGTCCGTAACAGTGTACCTCTGCACACCAGAAGCTGGGGGCAAAGTCATCACCTCCATGCTTTGCTTCTGGGAAGCATCTGGCTTGCAAGCTGGACCTTTGGGTGCAATCGAGCTCACCAGTTGCTATTTCTGACTGCTAAAAGACTCCTGGGCTCCTCACCTTGAGCAGTGCCAGATCCACTTCCTCACAGCCGCACTCCCTGAGACATGCCTGAAGACGCGAGGCTTTTTCTGCTAAGTTTTGGTCCTCAAAGGCTGGCAGCAGGGCACCCTTCCAGCAGCTCAGGACATGCGTCTCCAGGGACTCGGTCAAATCCTGTGGAGTGAAGAAACCGTTGAGTCCCGCAGAACCTGTCACTCAGTTGCAAGCCAATGGAGCAGAAGGAGAATTGGCTCCCAGTACATTTCTGAGCACAATTCAAAGTGTTGGTGCTGACCTTTAAAGCCTTAAATGGCCTCAGCCCAGTATACCTGAAGGGGTGCCTCCACCCCTATCGTTCAGCCCAGACATTGAGCTCCAGCTCCAAGGGCCTTCTGGCGGTTCCCTCGCTACGAGAAGCCAAGTTACAGGGAACCAGGCAGAGGGCCTTCTCGGTGGTGGCGCCCTCCCATCAGATGTCAAGAAAATAAGCAACTACATGACTTTTAGAAGACATCTGAAGGCAGCCCTATTTAGGGAAGTTTTTAATGTTTGATCTTTTATCGTGTTTTTAATATTCTGTTGGGAGCCGCCCAGAGTGGCTGGGGAAACAACGAGAGCAATGAGGTTTGGGAAGAAAAGGTGCTTCCGCATCCCAATTGTGCCTTGTGCTCCCCACTTTTAGTTGGTAGTGGTGGTAGCAGCAGTGGTGGGACCCCCACCCCCCAGTCACCCAGGTCCATTCTTTTGCCTACAGTCACAGGTGCCAGGCGTATAAGTAGCACAACCTCTCTTATCCTTTGCTAGACTTTAGCCACCTCTTCTCTGCTGCTGGAAGTCAAAGGGCTCAGCCTTCTGGCAGATTTGGGGCAATGCCGAAGACCACGGAGATCTCACCTTCATCCTCTTGTCCAGGGCAACCCTGCCATTCCACCAGTCCTTCCTGTCCGTGAGGTTGGAGATCTCTTTCTGTTTCTGTAGGATGGCATCAAGTTCACCAAGGGCTGCACTTACAGGTACCTGAGAAACAAAGGGGCATGATGGAAAAAGGTGGCCCCTCCAACCAGGAAGCTGCCAATGCAAATTTTACTTCCTTACCTTGGTGTGCATGGTCTGTATCTGGATGGTCACTGGGGGGGCATCTTTCTCCAGCCGTGTCAGCAAGAGGACGTCCCCAATAATTTCTGGCTGGATGCTCACCAGGGTTAATATACACACAGTTACCCCTGTGGTGGAGACAGCAATGCCCCCCAATTTTTTAAGAGAAGAACTGCACATAGGGTGGTTAAAGCAACACTTTTATTTGCTGGAGCGTAACAGGAGGCACAAATGTGCCATCAAGTCCCAAACTGCGAGCACAGAAGCTCCTGTGTTTCTTAAGACACAGCACCTCCTCATCCTACACAACACCCTTTAAAACGAAACACATTTCTAGTCCTTGTTTTGAGAAATAAGTATAAATGAGGGGGTCTCTGTTGGCATTTCAGGATCCACAGATGGCCAAGGAAATGATTATGGTCAACTTAACTCTACACTCCCAGCTCCATTCCCAAATAAGTGAAAATAGTTCCCGTCACCCAAATCCCGCTCATTACCTAAAGCAACATGCCCAGCATGACAAAGCATGAACTACAGAAATCCAGGCAAAATTTACAGCTCTTTTAATTAAATCATCAACGTTCCAATTCCTATCTGGAGTGCACAATTTTTTGTTTTTAATTCTAGACCAGGGGTAGGCAACCTAAGGCCCATGGGCTGGATGTGGCCCAATCGCCTTTTCAATCCGGCCCGTGGATTGTCCAGGAATCAACATGTTTTTACATAAGTAGAATGTGTCCTTTTGTTTAAAATGCATCTCTGGGGCATAGGAATTGGTTCTCCCCCCACAAAAAATATATATAGTCCAGCCCACCACATGGTATGAGGGATGGTGGACTGGCCCACAGCTGAAAAAGGTTGCTGACCCCTGTTCTAGACCGTGGTATTGCAAAAACTGCCAGCTCATTAAAGGGTTCTGCTGCAGCGATAAGACTCACAACCTTTTCTGCTATAGGAACACAGATACCACCATCCTTTTGAATGGGGAGCAAGTACCACCTGCTCTCCCCCACTGAAGCCATGTCATATACCAGAAGGGATTTGTTGCAGCTGTTCTCTGAAGTTCTCCGTCTCCAACTTTGTTGGGCTGGGGCAGCTGAATTCAAAGAGGTTCTGTAACTCAGAGAGGTGCTGGAACGGAGAATCAGTTTTTCCTTCTTGCAGGCTAAGTGCTTCCAACTGCTTTAAGGCGCTGGCCACAGATACCTTTTTCATTTTGCTAAGAATCAAACAAGAGGCCAGGGGTCATTAAGACATCAGCTTTCAAAGGATGTGCAACAGAAAGCATGAGGCAAGCAAGATGCTAATTTCAGTTGCTAATAGACACTTCACACACCCACATTCTGGCAGCAGCATAAACAAAAGCCCGTGTTAAGATTCACAGTGACATCCAAGCAGATTTTGCTTTCTACCAGCATGGATTTTAAATACGTTTGAAAAACTTATAATGGTTGGAAAAGGCATTTGGAAAATGGATGTTCTGGGGAAATGCGTTCAGATTCACTCCCTTGTATAGATCTGATACACTGATACAGACCCCAATCTTTAAGACAATTTTCCATTTTTACAATTTTACAATTTTAATACTGCATCTCTGCATGATTCTTTGCTCTTTGCCTGCTTTAGATGAGCTCCTCAGGGAGAGACAATTCTGCTGCATCAAGAGCTGACTCATCATTGTAAAATTATTGTTTATTCATTGTAAAAACAACATCTGGAAGAGGCTTTAACTCCCTGCAGTCATGAGGCTTGCTCAGGTCCACTGAGAGTGGATAATTTTTTACTCTCTCACACACTTCCAAGCAAACCTACCCAAGGCTATGTTTTCCACACTTACATACAGTATACACCACTTCCCCTTCCCCCCAAAATATGAGCTTACTGGAGCTTCTTGTAAATGACGGTCAGTATCTGATGACGAAAAGTTACAGAGACCGACTCAGAAACCAGGTAGGCAGTAGCAATGGGGTCTCGGCTCCCAGTGCACAGTGCCATGAGCCGGCAGAGATGGCTGTAGAGGGCACCCGGAGGGTAATGTCCAATTGCGTAGAAGGCAGCTTGCAGGGAGTCATAGACAGAGTCCATGGACAAGGAGTCTACAATAGTTTGGGAGAGAGAGAAAAACCTGAATTAAATGAAAAACTGAACATTTATGTTTATTCTGTGAACTGAACAGCGTGATTCCAGAATAACAAATTTTAAGAACTGTTGCAAATTTATAAAATTTATTTAAATTTGTATTCTACTCTTCCCCCTGGCTCAGCATCATTCATATCAGTAGCAAGGAATCTTAATTAGACCTGTCAGGCCCCTGGATTTGGCCTGCGCCAGGCCACTTCGAGCAAATCACATTTACCTGTAAAGTCACCTGATGCCTTATGCCATTAGGCACAGAGATCTGTTATCTGTGATGTAAATGCTAAGGTTGGAGGTAGGGGGTTCCCTTATCTCCGATCTTTGTGCTCTTTTCTCACAGCACTAAGATTAGAGATAAGCCTCTGCTGCTGTCTTTTGGAAAGCAAGTAGAGGCTCACTTCCAATCTTATTGCTCATATGACCTCAGGTGATTGACAAGTGGGTGGTCCTACCACACCTGTCAAAAATGGTCCACAGGGGGCAGGCCAGTTTTGGATCCAGTCTCTGGCCTGTTCCAGTTTCCCACAGCTGGTGTATATGGTTCTTCGCTCTCCACGTTTTATCCTCACAGACTAAGACATTGTTGCCCAAGGTCACACCGTGAGCTTCATGGCCAAGTGGGAATTCCAACCCTGGTCCTGGTCCTGTAACCAGGAGACCACAGTGGCTCTCAATAAACTTATTGCCTAGTAAGCATCTTTTAGATTATATCTTGAACTCTTGAAGGCCAGGTTTTTAGACTTGGGAAAAGTAGGGACAGGGTGTCACCATGAGCTGATTGGGTCATTTGAAGCATGCCCCGCCTCTCAATCTCCACATCTGCAGAATGGGAATAAATTATATTGACCAGCCCTTGCACAGCTGTTTTAAAGATTACTGCAGCAACATATGCAAAATGCTTTAAACCCCCAGCCCTAGGACACTGCTTACAATGTGAACCAAGGAAGACGAAGAAGGAGCCTACCACCCAGACTTGTGTGAACTACACAAAACCTCAGTGAGGCCACGGCATTTGTCATTGAGTGATGAATTCAAGAGTCAGAGACCTTGGCTTCTGTTTAGCCGAAAGACCCAAGTTTCTAGTCCTCAGCACCGCAAAGGCTTAAACCTTGGGAACTTCTGAAGCCTGAAAGGCTCAGTAATTTTTTGTGAGACGGAGAAAACACATTCAGTGCCTTCCTTCCTCAAAGCTAGTAGAGTAGGGAACATCTAAGGTATTTTTGTGTATGTTTTCAGAACCCACCTTATTTTTGTGATTGCAAGTTGCTCTAAGCTGTTTTTAATACTGTGTTTTAATGCTGTAACCTGCCCTGGGACGTTAGGCTGCCTCACAAAGTGGGAATCGTGGCTTAAAAAAGGGAGCTGAAGAGCAGAGCGGAGAGGCTCATGTTTCTTACTGGCAGGGGCATCCAGGGAAGCAGCAAGCGGGTGCAAGTTGAAAGGGTCCTCTGAAGCTCTCTTCTCTGTAGGCTGGAAAGCCTCTTGCAAGTCAATGCTGGCATCACGCCGGAGAACCTCTTGGTCCTCTTCTGTGTCATTCAGCCGACGGATAGGCCGCCTCCTGCGTTCTGCAGTGAGAAGTAGTAATGCCAACGCATCAATGCCAGCTGCAAAACAGCCTCTATAATCAGGGATGTGGCTTGGGTGCAATTTCGCATGGCACCCTGTTGGGCACAGAATGAGGCTTCCCAAGCAAGAGCTCATACCACAGTAAACCTTTATGTCAGCTGCAGCACATGAATACACATATAACGAAGGCCAGCTACATACCTGAAATGAATTACTAAGAGATCTCAACATTGCATTTAAAAAACAACTTTCTAACGCTTGTCATTGAGAAGGCAGGTTGGAAAGCATGCAGGTTACGCCTGCTGAATTTGATTACCAGTGGATTAAGGTCTTTCAACAGGCCTTTGCTTTGCCCCATGATTAGCAGAGGAGCTATTCAGAAACTTCATTTTAAAAGAGCAGGTGAGATAACCCCAGCAGATTTTAAATCATAAAATATGGAGCAAAGCATGGAAATAAAGACTTTTGGATCTTAAAATATGCCCTTGTGAGTTCCTAAATTTCCCTCTTCCCCTAGTATAAAGACCACATGTTTAGTAAGTTTAAAAGTATTTACTTAGAAACTCTCAAAAGTTCAGATCCATGTGTTTTTCCATACAGCAGTCAGAAAATGTTGCACAGGCAATAAAACTTTTCTTAGTTACAGTGGTGAAAGTTCCTAAATTATTGGTATAAGAGCTCAAGAAAGGCTTGTAAGAACCATGCGGTCTGAGCTGCAGCAACCAGCTCTGACCTCCTCACATGTTGCGCTTCTCAAATAGACTGGTAGGGGGCAGTCCCTCCCATGACAAGCTAAGCCTGGAAGGACAGTTTACTCTACGGTCTTAACCCCTTCATGCATTAATTAGACTTAAGCAATGTCAGCTGTATGAGGCTAGTTACCCCACAGGATGTTCTGCTTCAAAGCTTGATGACAGGCAGAAAGGAAGACGACAAAGAGAAATCAGACTTGCTCCAACACCTATGGAATATTCTTATTTTACTCTGGCTTGTTCTTTCCCTTTAAAGCCTCCTGTTTCCCCTTACCCTCCTGCTACTTTGCCTAAGATGCCTGTCAACTAGCTCATTCCTAGGTCTCTCACCTTCCATCTTCAACTACTGTTTTCTTTTTCCAAGCAGTCACATCTCACCTTCAACTACTGGCGCTTCTTCATCAGAACCCCGTAGGACTTCAAAGCTGGCCTCAGGACCTTCCTCAATGGTCCTCAGAACCTCCTTTTCTTCTTCATCCTGAGAATGGGCAGTTGTCTCCTCACAATGAGCTTCTTTGGTTTCCTCCTGCTGCTTCCCTCGTCGAGAAACTCCCCTACCCCGTGGCCTCCTGGGCAGGGGCGTTGCCATTTGAGAGCAGCCGTCTGAAGAGTTAGTGCTACAGCTCATCTGGGATGCCTTCCTGCTAGAGGCCACCCTTCTTCCTGTCTTGGGGGTGGCAGGCACTGGCTCTTTGGCAGCAGGCAACTGGGACGCCTGCATGGCTTCTGGAGGATCTTCCATATCACTGTCATCATAGAAAGAGACCTGGGGAGGGGGGAGAAGTTTGTTTTGCTTTCTCTTCACCTCCCCTTCCCCAAAACTCTTAAACTAATGGAATTGGCTACCACAATATTTGGTGATAGCTGCTAGATTATATGGGGTTTGGGGGGTGGGGAGGTTGGACAAGTTCATGCCAGGGTGGTGATATTATCTCCAGGTGCAGAGGCAGCATGCCACTGAATACTAGTCACTTAGGAACAAACAACAATGGGAGACAGCCATTGCTCAGAGCTATTATGACATTGTCCTGCTTGTAGGCTTTTCCTAGGCATCTAACTGGACAATGAAGAAAGCAAGATGCTGGGCTGTATAGGTCCTGACCCCATTATCTTTGCCTGTGATGGTGGTGGCAAGACTGGTGGGAGCTGAAGCTGAACAGCATCCAGAGGACCAAAGGTTTCTTATCCCTGCTTTAGAAGGACAACACAAGAATCCTGCTGGATCAGACCAGCGGCTGATCTAGTCAAGCATCCCATTTTCACAGCAGACAACCAGATGCACCCCTCACCCCGGAAGCCTGCAAACCAACTCCATAGATTAGTCATGTAAATATTTAAGGTATATTTTTAATAAACCACAGCAGCCACAATTAACGTTTCCATATTAAGACCATGGCCCAGATTAAGCAAGGCAACTTTCAGGTTCGTTTCATGCTAGGGTTGCTGACGTTTAATGGATTATTATTATTTTAATTGTTACCTTAATTCGAGATTTCGTTCTCTTCGACACTTTGGGAGCCTTTGGAAGTTTGGTGTTTAGCTTTGGAGAAGATTCCTCAAAAACTGCAAATGGAGCCTTCAGGCGCGGCTTGGCTGCTGAATGCTGGGTCGGCCTGGGAGCGGGGAGGGATTTCTGGGCTGGGGTACGGTGCTCGACAGGCGGTCTAAGGACAACCGGAGCAGCCTCTGAATCAGAGTCAGCCAGGGCAAATGGATTATTAGGTCTGGCCACGGGCAGAGGTTTAGTTCCTTGGATTCGCTTAGACTTTGCTTTTTGGTCAGCTCTTGGCTGCTTCGGCGTTTTGCTTTTCAGGGGCAGCGTGCAAAGTGAACTGACTGCCTTTTCTGCCTTTTGCTTGCCTTCTGGGTTCCCGTGGAGAGACAATGGGGACTTCCAGGACCAAGCACTAGAAAATAGGTTTTCTGCACTGTCATATTGAGTAGAGGCTAGGATAGACATGGTACCCACAGCTTTGGCAAGCAGCAGCCTGGCCCTTTGGTATTGGAAGCCAAGCAGCCGAGTCTCCTTAGAAGACAGCAAGCTCGAGCCAGTCTCCAGAATCCCCCAAAGTTTCTTCTCTGGTCTGCCAGTGTTCACACTTTGCCAAGCCAGAGTCACATAGATATGGGCCACCAGATTATCAAGAATCTGAACTGAGGACTGATGAGGTATGACCCCCTTCTTGCCTTGAGAAACACAGGCCACCATGCTGGAGAGACGCAAAGCCACAGTGGCACACCGTTTCAGACTGGTCTCAAGGAGATGCAAGCCTTCCGCCGTGTTCCCAGATGCCAGCTCCTCCTCTGCAGAGGTGACCAGCCAGCCGAGACAGACGGCAGAGAGGACCACATCAGAGCACAGCAAGCAGTGGCAGGCCTCTGGGTGATTCAGGAAGCCAGCATGCTTCTTCTGTTTGGACTTCAGCACTGGCGAGGTGGTTAGGGTCTTCTTCTGCAGCGAGACTGTGTCAACAAACTCGAGGGAGACCTCTTTCAAGAAAGGCTGCTCTTCCTCAGCGGGCTCTACACATGTACCTTGAGGCGTCCTGTTTTTAGACCTGCCTTTCCTGGGCTTGATTTTCACACCTTCTTTTTCTTCTTTGGTTTCAAAAACTGGAGGCAGGAGAGATGAGCTAAGTGAGTATTTTCCCCTGGCACCAGAGGAAAACACTTTGCAAATCAATTTGAAAGCTTAAACACAAAATTGATCTAAACCTGTGTTTCCCAAACTTGGGCCTTCAACTGTTTTTGGACTACAGTTCCCACTGGTCCTGCTAGCTAGGAATGATGGGAGCTGTAGAACAAAAACAGCTTGAGACCCAAGTTTGGGAAACACTGATCTGAACCCTCCACAAAGGGAAAGTCATCTTTGGACTAAGGGGTGTAAAAGGTTCTTTACGCCCAGGCAGGAAACAAGCAACCAAGTTACTCAGATTCCTATTTACCAATATTGAAAGGATGAAGCATGGCACCTTTTCAGAGGAAGCCCACAGCGCATAGCTGTCAACTTTTCCCTTTTTTAAAGGAAAATTCCCTTATTACGAATAGGATTCCTCGCAATAAAAGGGAAAAGTTGACAGCTATGGCACAGCGGGTCTCAATATCAGTGTGTTTGAAGATCCTACACCCTCAAGCTAGGGCTGCTGATATGCTGCACATGGGTGCCCTCAAAGCATCCTGCCTCTCCCAATTTTTAAAAATAGGGTTTTAAAAATTTATTTAGAGGGTCTAGTTTTTTTGCCACCGAGGTCTCTTTCTTTGGCTTTGGGAGCCATCTGGGGCTGACAGGGACTCCTAGCATTGGAAAGGGCAGGTGGGGCTGGTGCTTTGCTTTACGTTGTACCCGGCCCAACTGCCTATTTTCCTCCATTCTTATTCCGTTTTTTGTAAAGGGAGGATTTGCTGTTGCTTGCTAAGTGTTTGTGGAATTGCCCCTTTTAACTTTGTGGGCACATGATTTTGTGAGGATGCATTGCCCGTGTAGGTTGGTTTGGCTTTGGGGGAGGGGAAGAGTTTATCAGTCTGAAAAGTCTAGAACCATGCCCTCAAGCCCAGATCTACCCTTCCAGAGGGAGACTTGATTATCCCCTGGAGTTAAGTCACAGGGCAAAACAACTCCCCTTCTGCAGACGGCAGTTTGCCTCCCCATTCTTCTTGCAGCAAGAGGTTCCAAAGTTCTACCATCCCTGCTCTGGCTGCTTTAGGTGGGGTGGAAAAGCCTCACCTGTGCCCGACTCAAGAAGAAACAAGACCTGCTCCAGATCCAAGCGGCACAGCTCCAGGTCACTGCGCTGTAGTTCCAGTCCACTCTTCAAGACCAGGAAGCGAGCACACCTGATAAGAGCAGGCCAAGCAGACATTAGAGGGTTCCTAATATTCAACAATTGCAGCCACACACTGCACCCTATCTCAATATGCTGCTCTCTACCAAAATTTCACAAAAGGCTGTCCTCCGCCCTATGCCCCTCACAGCTCTGCACAGATAAGCTCAACAGATTAAGGAGGGCTTGCCTCTAGGCTTCCTGGGTCCACATTTTTGAGAAGGGACTAGGCCAACACAAGTTCAAGTCTAGGTCTCTAATTCCCCCACCTATGAGATTGTCTGTGCAATGTTATTTTCATTATATATCAGGGGTTGAAAACTGCTGACCCCCCACTTTCAGGTGCTGGACTCCTGCTTCCACCAGACTCAGCCAACATGGCCAATGGTCAGGGATGATAGGGATTTTAGTTCAGTGACATCTGAAGAGCCACGGGTTCCCCCTCCTTACCCATTTACATTCCTTACCATCGAATAGACTGAAGCCTCATGGAGATTTTCAGCATTTCCAGGCAGAAAGCTTTTGCTTCATTGACAATCTCGATCTTGCCCAAGAGGGAGACAAAGCTCTCGGAGCAAACAAACATGTCAGCCAGCACCTGCCACTTCTGCACCAAGTTATCACCTGAGTAGGATGGTCAAATTTGTTTGGGGCGGGGAAAGAAACATTTAAGTTGCGTATGCGTAGGGCATTTTAATTGGACATCCAGCTGCACCATGTTTAAGGCTTTCAAAAGAGATAGCATGCTGAAGTGTGGAACACAGTAACTCCACATACATTAAGATCGGGCAGGTGACATTCTTTGGGACCACCTATTCACTGGGCACTTGTCCGAGAACTAGGAGGCAGGAGGCTTCCCACCCCCCAACTAAGCAGTTTAAGGATGCTCCTGCGCCCGTCCAGCTCATGCAAGCTGGAGTGGTATGGCGGCTTGCTCAGTAGGACTGGAGAGGAAAAAGGATCCAATATACATTCGAGACATTGTGATATATCAGCATATTGTGGTATTAAGCTGCTGATGTATCACATCAGTGTTGAAAACCAGATATCGCTCAGCCTTAGTGTTTGCCTCATTTGATAATTCTTTACCAAGGTAAACCATACTGTGCACCTCATCTACAGTATACAAGCATTCCCTAATTAGCACAATTTATTCTGCAAGCCATGGGGAAAGCCAATGAGCTATTCAGGGCATCTTGCCTCCCAACCACTGAAAGCCTCTTTCTGGGATTTAACTGGGCATTTTGCCCACAGGTTTCTCAAACCTGCCTATGCATCCAGAAGAGCTTTTAATGCAGCTGAGTATCCAGATGCTGAACTCTGCACCCAACATCAAATATTGCAGCTACATTTATTCTGGTTGCAAAGTTGCAGGTTTACTTCCCTGCATTTTTTTTAAAAAAAAACCCCATTGCTCAGATGAGGTGAGCTGTTGAAGAGTTTCATTGCTTGAGCTTGGCAGAGTAAATGAAATAAGAGAACAAAGTAAAATAAGGAGTAGCAACTGGGGGGCATTTGCTTGTAACAATCCATAGATTTTATGTGGTTAGGAAGCCGTTCCAGTACCGAAGGTCAACCAAGCTCCAAGATTGTGTGCTGAAACATATTTGGTTTATTTTCAGAGGGAGGAATTCAGTATAGCTCTAGGGCTATTGTTCTGTCAGCGCTAATTTTCAGCTTGCCAGATGGAACAATTCCCCCTCTCCCCTCCCCTTGCACTGTTCTAGGGGCTTCTCCTGCCTCCCAAAGGCCAGTTTTGGGGAATGCTGGAGCGGTGGTGACAGCAGGGAAGCCCCATTGCGCCAAGAGAAGCCCTTATGTAGGCTTCCACTAGTGGGACCAGTTAGCTGCTGAATACCACCCAGAATGTATATCTCTGCCATCTTTTATGGAATAACTTCAGCATCTTCCACTAGAACAAGTTATAATTTTTAAATCACTAAAACCAGCATATGGACAGTCTAAATTTAGTTAAACTACTCCACTCATTTTTCCATGACACCTTTTGCACAACTGTCTAGCCCAGCTGCTCCCAAATGCAACAGACTACAGTACTTGAAAACTACCTGAAAATAAGCCACTTAATAATTTTTCCGTCTGTTGTCACAACCGTAATGTGCTGTGCTAGGTATGCTGCATGATTACTTAATCGTATTTTTAATTGATTTCCTACATTGTATCACAATTTGCATTCCATAGAATTCCAAAAAGCTTGTAAAGCACAATCCATAGTGATGGATACTAAAAAACACCAGCTGCTCCCTTTCGAGGGTAGATACGGCATATCGGTTTTATCCAATAGATCCTTGGGCTGAAAAGGAACTAGTAAACAGCAGCAATATTCTAACAGTGGACCGCTTCGCCCCAGTTTAGGGAAAGTTTCATGCATACAGGATTTTGAAAAATAGCAAAAATCTTTGCACACTTTCAGAGGATAGCAATAAACATTTTACCGTGATCTACAAACTGATGCTCTGAAACATCTTTAGCAGATGTGTCGCTGATAATCAGTGAGAAGCTCAAGAGGATGCTGCGGTAGAGTTTGTGAGCATCACCCAGAGCCGTTTCAGGAGTCTTCCATCCTGCATGATAGGAGAGAACACACACTATACGTTACTACTGTGTTCAACAAGCTTTGTAGTTTCAAGGAAACCTTTCCACAAGCAACCCATATGAAAGGACCTCTGTACGCTGCCAATATTTGGGAGACGTGTTCAAGAGAACAATACGCAATGCCCACATAGTAATAAGCACGCCTATTAGGCCTCTAACTATTGGGATGTAGCTTACAGAACACCCAGTGGTTTCCTAGGGCCGTACATTTTAAGGGGCAACCTGCTTTCAGAGATGAGAAACTCTTGATTAGCTCCCAAGAAATGCAAATGTTCCCTGGAACACAGTTCGCAATGAAGAGGGAAGCAGATTTTTACTTCCAAGACTATTTACAGGACTAGTGCATGGTGGGAACCTCTTCTACACACAAGGAAGAAACTTCCATGATATATGACACTGTTAGCATAGCTTAGAAACAGGGCTGGGCAACCTGGTGCTCTCCAAACATTATTGAACTCCCTACTCCTATCAGCCTCAGCCAGCATAATCAATGACCATGGATGATGGGAGCTGGAATCCAAGAATAACTGGGGGACCACAGGTTTGCCATCTCTGGCTTAAACCCTCAATCTCTGCTTGTATGGTGGAATTTACAACAACCCAAGAACTGCAGATTACCAATCAACACTGCTGTTCTGCCCCAGAATTTAAAATTGGCTGTTCCCTTTCCACTTGGGAACGACATGCTGTTCACCTGCTGGGTGAAACCTAACTCTAGTATGCTCCTCCCATACATCTGGAAAGGAACATCTTCTCTTTGCACTTGAATGTTTGGATACCCTCTCCAGCTCACAAAGTTCTCAAAATCTTCCATTCATTTACAATTCACTTATTGACAGGTGAATTGCTAGTATCAGATGAGTACAGATTACTATCAAGGAGGAGATGCATGGATGCTTCTGCACTCACCTTGAACCCAGAGTTTTTGCCTCAGTGCCAGTGGGAGGGCAGAAGCTGGCAGACCAAGGTAAGCGGCTGTCAACTGGAGAGCACTGGCTCGGAGCAGGTACCAGACCTTAGAGGACCTTTGCAAAGCAGGGTTCTGCAAGATTTCCACTAGAAGAATGACACCTTCTTCAATCTGTCCGCATAGAGAGGAGGGGAAATGATCAGTTGCAAAGAAGACTGTCTTCCATTGTGCACCAACCAGCGTTTGATTTATGCTGCAAAAGCTTATGCATCAGAATGCAATTGATTCTTGACCCCAGGGAAATTTTCTGAAAGTTTGGAAGTGCCTGCAATTTGACACCCATGTGTGCACATCATAGCTGAACCTAGAATATCCCAACCTGATCCAGCATTCTCCTATCCATACTGCGGACAATAGGATAAAAACCAACCCACTTGTGGCTAGTAATGATCTACGTTTATAATTAGCCCAGTAGCGGTGGGGCTCCTCAGTTCATTCCTGCAGAATCCCCGCAGAATCAAAGCTCCAGCCCACAAGTACAAAAAAAGTTATCAAGCCTGTATGGATCTTGAACAAATCGAGGTGCAGCCTAACTGTGACAAATGGTTCAGCCCCTTCCAGAATAATTAATCAGTGCAACCTACTTATGGGCAAAAAGAATCACATATTGGCAGAGGGGCAATCTTGGTTTTGAATGTTTCAGCAAAGTGTTAGCCATAGCATAATGCAGTAGACTCCCTTTTAGGGTCCTACGGACCCAGAAGCATCATTCCCATGTGGCTTTCTACTCTCTCCTTCCTGGCACATGTACACACAAACGCTTTTTTACTGAAGATAGTTCTTTTAGTAACCTGGCTTGCTTGCCAGTCTCAGTGCTGTGCAGTGAATGCAAAAGGGCAACCCCCACAAGGATACCTTGTGGTTTGCTAAGCACAGCTTGCTACGGAGCACAGCTAGTGTTTGATTGGTCAGCAGGCAAGAGTCATTCTTTCTGTCCACATTTTGCAGGCATGATTCAGCCTCCTTTAAAGTGGTCTGCAAGAGAATAAAACAGGACAAAATAACATTAGCACAGCAGTTGTCCGCTAGAGTTGAAATAACAAGAGTTCAGACAACATTTGTCCCGTTTATCAGCAGCTGACCTTAATAGCAGTAAGTAATAAGAAAGCCATCTATAAATCAGGTCTGTGGGGCCTCCAACAGGAATAAGCTTGTCTCCAGATTGTCACCTTCATGGCTCATACAGTGGTTGTGGTTGTTTAGTCGTCTTAGTTGTGTTCGATTCTCCGTGACCCCATGAACCAGAGCATGCCTTGGAAACTCACTTTCTTCTCAAAGCTTCTCCTTTTTTATGTCCATGGAGTTTTCTTGGCAAAATACTGGAATGGATTGCCAGTTCCTTCTCCAGGTGGATCACATTTAGTCTAAACTCTCAGCTATGACCTGTCCATCTTGGGTGGCCCTGCATGGCATAGCTCATAGCGTCTTGGAGTTATTCAAGCCCCTTCACGACAACAAGGCAGTGATCCATGAAGGGGCATACAGTGGTACAGTTGCTTAATTGTCTCATTTGCCCTCACTGAGGTTTATTTTGGCTCTTTGCTTTCAGGTCCAAGTCAGACTGCTAATTTTGAACTAAGGCCTTGGGCAGTTATCATTCTCTACTCAGCCACTGGGAGACGAGATTGAACTGAGCCCCAACAGCAGAGGTCGGAATAGTTCCCACCACCACAGTTGTCAGATGGCCTCCTGAGGGAGGTTTGCCCATCTCTGCCACTGTTGGCTTTCCATCATGTATCAAAAGCAGTGCATTGGGAAGGACCTCTCAGAGCAATTTGCTATTCAGAAATCTCCAACCCTGAGGGCCCCTAGAGCATTTTCCTTTCTTTGTTGATGCTTTGAGTTAAAGTGAATTGTTAGTACATCTGGTGATCCTTTTTAGGAGGTGGAAAGGCAAAGCATGGCTACATCAAAGCTGTACAGTGGTACCTTGGTAGTTGAACGGCTTGGCTCTTGAACAAATCGGCTCCCGAACGCTGCAAACCCAGAAGTGAGTGTTCTGGTTTGGGAACCTTTTTCAGAAGCCGAACATCCAACATGGCTTCTGATTAAGTGCAGGAAGCTCATGCAGCCAACCAGCAGCTGCGTCTTGGTTTTCAAACTGTTTCGGGAGTCAAACGGACTCCCAGAATGGATTAAATTCAAGAACCAAGGTATCAATGTATTGAGGAAGCATATTCAACTCTCACATTTCCCAGATTGGCAGCCAGTAGGGCCTTGGGCTGTAAAAAGCTCCATTCTCATTGGTAGAGCAACTTTAAAGCCCCAAGTTGAACACCCAACATCACTAGTTAGAGAGTTTTAGGTGGGAGGGCTGGGCGAAAGACCTCCAACAGCTGCTGCCAACTGTGCTGGGGTAGATGGAACAGAAAGTCTCCCAGCAATAAGGTGGCCATTTTTTAAAAGGGTATTTGTAACAGTGATACGTACGTAGGGCATGAAACCTAGCAAGCTGCCTTAGGCAGAATCAGAGCTGTGGTCCAGTACTGTCCACACTGACTGGCAAAAGTTCTCCAGGATTTCAGAGAGGGATCTTTTCAGGAGATGCCAGGGACTTTTGCCATTCACAGGACTACTCTTCATGCTCACCTCAGCATAACTGGGACATTCCAGATGGAGAAGTAGCTTGGAAATTTGGCACAAGGCATTGGTCTTCCCCACAGAGTCTTCAAGTGCCCCGGAGAGAGCTGTGATGAGGAAATAACTCTCTATGGCCTGTAATGGCTGCATAATAAAAAAGGAAATAAATCTATTTAAATATGTGCAGGGTGGTGGGGACCCAATCCAGTACAGTCAGGGATGGTCAGTTTTGCTATTCAAGGGAACTCTGTGCTCACGAGGACCCGAGCTCTGTAATAAAAGTTGCCATGACCTAACAGGAAAGCCTTCCTGGGTGCAGAGGAGATCGGCTCAGATGGCATTCAGATACAAAATCTGATTCTAATCAATTAACTCTTCCTTTCCGGTCAAGGGGCAGAGTAGCATTGCTCCATGACTTTTTCCAGAATGTGGAAAGCAGTCAAGTTCATAGAATAACACATCTGGAGACTTGTTACAACTTCTTTCCTTTAGAAAATGAAATTGAGCACTTTCATTAAATGTTTATAGGTCCATATACAGCCAGACATTGCTGCCAGCTCTGGTCCACTCACCATGGCAGAACTGGCCATTTGCTGTTGATGCAGCAAAGGGTGGAACCACCCTTTTCAGTTCGAGGGAAACATTATCATTTTATTCCTTGCATTTATATACAGTGGTACCTCGGGTTACAGATGCTTCAGGCTACAGACGCTTCAGGCTACAGACCCTGCTAACCCAGAAATAGTACCTCGGGTTAAGAACTTTGCTTCAGGATGAGAACAGAAATTGTGCTCCGGTGGCAAGGCGGCAGCAGGAAGCCCCATTAGCTAAAGTGGTACCTCAGGTTAAGAACAGTTTCAGGTTAAGACCTCCGGAACAAATTAAGTTCTTAACCCGAGGTACCACTGTACGCCACTCTTTTCCTCCTAGGAGCTCAAGGTGACATACATGGCTCTCCCCTCCCAATTTTATCCTTATAGCATCCCTGTGAGGTAGGTTAGGCTGAGAGATGGCGACTGGCCCATGGTCACCCGCTGAGCTTCATGGCCAAGTGAGGATTTGAACATTAGTCTCCCAGGTCCTACTCTGACACTCTACCCCCACTGGCTCCCACATTCCCTCCCAGGCAACCTTCCAGTGGTCACTTCCCATAGGCATCTTGATCAGCCTCTGTGAGGACTAGATGGGCCACTGGTGTGATCCAGCAGGACTCTTCTTAGGTTCACCAAGAAGCACTAAATATTGCAATTTCTCGTGCTGTCTCTGCTCCCAGTTCTCGAATCAGAAAGCAGGGCACCTCAGACTGGCAGGGGCAGAGAGGGAGAAGGGCGGGCATAATGGGACTCCTACAGGGGGAGGGAGGTGAGGTTCTCAGGTGCAGCCATCATGCTGCTGCCCCAAGGCTTTTCACAATCAGCCTAAAAGAGAGACAATGCAGTGCTTGCATGAGAGCAGGGAAGTGGGGGGAAAGAGAGAGAGGGCCTTTCAGGAAGCTGAAGGAGAACAAAACCCCAGTTATATAGACTTCTTGCCCAAGCAAAGTGCCTGGCTCATTACCTTTCCCATCATTCTGTACAAAGCTGCCATGATGTGTAAGGATGCTGCTGTCTGCTCAACGTTACGTACAGCTGGGACCCTGCCCTTGCAGGAGAGGAGCTGCTTCCACAAGGCAAGGGCATCGTCCAAACACTTTGATTGCACTGAAAAAGAGAGTTTGTGTGTTGGGTGGGGTCAAGAGACTGCAGTGACAATCAGCACCTCGCAGGGAGAATCAAAACACAGTTCTTTGTGCAGTAACTAGAAACTCACATTTCACATGTCCCTTTCTGAGCAATGAAAATTTAAGGTTGCTTTTTGATGGGTCAGAAATACCTATGGTGCCTTTTATAATCCAGTTGGGAATCAACAAACTGAGGAAGCTTGGTTAGAGAACACCCACGATCTTATTTCCCCCATTTTCTACCTGATCAGATGATAAATTCACTAGTATGATCGGGCAATACCGCTTACAGAATTGCACCCACCTGTCAATCACCTCACATGGCAGCACTTAAGCTAACAGTTCTTAGCACCTAATGCTTGTATCAGATCATATGACATCAGGTGACTGGCAGGTGGGCATGGTTTGCCTGAAATGGTGTTGTAGGCCAAATTTAGCAGCCCGGCAGGATGAAAGTTCCCTGATGTGTTTTTTAAGTGTTTTTTATCTTTTTTCTGTATTTTGCATCTTTTTTTTTTCTTTTCTATTTCTTTTTCTTTTTTTCCTCTTTTTATTTATGTAAATTTTTCTTTGAAACTTTAATAAATATCATTAAAAAAAAAAAAGGATGAAAGTTCCCTACACCTGCTTCAAATGTATGTGTGTGTCTCGCCCCACCCTCCCCGCCCAACCAAGTTCCTTACCAGAATCCACAGACAGGTTAAATGCAATGCCAAGATACAGGAACTTGTCATCCTGGGATTTGTTCTCATAGTTTAGATCATTGGTCTCAAAGCCTTCAAGATCTTGTATGCCTTTCTGGCCCCTGGCATGGGCACTCCTGGTCCTCTGCTCTTGCCTGATGCTCTGCATTTGAAAAAGCAACATGGATAAAGATTGGTATGGAAGTGAGAGGACATACTGTCTGTCCCCAGCGGCATAAAATCTTCATCCCTTGTGGAGCAGCTCAGGGCATAACAAAGAAAGCCACTACAGTGGTTTCACTGAGCCCAAACCTCACGATGCATCACAATAATTGACACATCACACGATGCATCACAATTCTTCACAAAAGGTTACTTCAGTTTAAAACCACCTCCATGCCACTGTAAAAGTCCTATCCTACTATACATTACAATTGCAATGCAGGATACCCTGGAGATGCTGAAAAGCTTACAGCAAAAAAGGCAGGGAGTTCCTAAGCCAAAATATGTTCAATTCCCAACATCTCCACTTAAATAAGCATTGGTGCATTATGGATGTTTTGCTTGCTACACAGTCAAATACACTTTAACTAGGATTGTATGCAGCAACATGACAGCAGAAAGAATGCAAAAATCAAATACAATTTTGTTTTCCTTGACCCTCATCTGAGATTTTAAGAAGATGGGGGAGGTTTCTAGACCTTTTGATTAAAGAAAGTAAGCAATGGGGAAATGCCTGATGAGATCTGAGAAGCGAGAGGGGTGGGCTTTTTAAGGTTTCTAGTTGTCAGGGATGAGGCTTCAGTGCTTGGAAATAAGGTAAACAGCATACACAGTGGTACCTCGCAAGACGAATGCCTCGCAAAACGAAAGAGTTTTTCGTTTTTTGAGTTGCTTCGCAAGACGAATTTCCCTATGGGCTTGCTTCGCAAGATGAAAAACGAAAACGTCTTGCAAGTTTGTTTCCTTTTTCTTAAAACCGTTAATACCCAGGGTGACTTCGAGGAGCAACTCATAGCACGCGGTGTGGTAGCCTTTTTTGAGGTTTTTGAAGACTTTGGTGATTTTGAAGACTTTGGGAAACCGTGCTTCGCAAGACGAAAAATTTGCAAGACGAAAAAACTCGCAGAACGAATTAATTTCGTCTTGCGAGGCACCACTGTATACTTCTGCAGCAAGGTTAGTAGAAATAATCTGCATGATTTTATACAGACTGTAGCATTCAACTTCTAAAACACAAAATATAAGCAGCTCTGAATTTAGTCGGCAGAGCTCTGTGCTGCTTTGCTTACTGCCACATACCTCATGCATTTTGTCCTCAATTGTGCAGATGTAAAGCCAGAGTAAGGCTTGGGCCTTATCGTCCTGGAGCTGCTCCTCATTCTGGGGAGTCTTTGGCACAGAATCCAACAGCCACAGGGCTTCATGAACAGAGTCCAGGGCAGAGCTAAAGCGGAGGAGACAGAGTTTAGTCAATGGTGTCTCCCATTCATCAACCATGGAGGCTCTTCTGGACAAATTCTGGGGCATCTTAGCACACAAATTATTAAATTTAGATCCCACTCTTCCTCCCAAAGGGGCCCGGAGAAGCAAGCTACAAGGGCTAAACTTTCTTAAAAACAATTTCACTACAGATGCAGACTGGGAAAGAATTCAACTTAAAAGGCTTGCTGAAGGAGGAAGGGCTTCAGAGAGTGCTAAAAAAAACATCAGCCTGTCTGATATTCAAGGGAAAGGAATTCCAAAGGGCAGGTGCCACAACACTAAAGTTCTGATTTCTACAGTGTATGGAATGGGCCTCATAATAAGATGGTACCTCCTGGAGGCCCTCACCTGAAAAGAGCAGCGATCAATTGGGTATATAAGGAGTGAGACAATATTTCTGGTATTTTGGATCCAAGCTGTAGAAGGTTTCATACACAAGAAACAACACCTTGAACTTAACTTGGTGACTAATTGACAGCCAGTAGGGTGGAGGAACCTGTGGCTTCCAGATACTGTTAGACTCCAATTCCCATCAGCCCCAGCCAACCTGGACAATAGTTGGGGATGATGGGGGCTGAAGTCCAGTAACATTGTGGGGAGGGGAATCACAGGTTTCCCCATCCCTGCTCAGACCCATGAGAGTGGTGAGGTGTGCGTGTTGAATTGTAGCTATGGGATCAAGGGGCAGAGAACTGCTGCTGAGAAAGGAAATTGAGAAGCAGGGGGTTGTACTCTGCACCATTTGTTAAATGCAATTTGTATGTGACATGCTTGTGTTTATGACTTGTCAACAGCAGAATGAAGAACATGGAGAATTATAAACACAAGGTCTCCTAGGTTGGGCACATTCATGAGAAGATACTCTTTTTGCTTTGCAAAATAAAAGCAAAAATAAGTCAGCAATACAGTGACACCTCGGGTTACATACACTTTAGGTTGCATACGCTTCAGGTTACAGACTCCACTAACCCAGAAATAGTGCTTCAGGCTAAGAACTTTGCTTCAGGATGAGAACAGAAATCATGCTCCGGCGGCGCAGCAGCAGCGGGAGGCCCCATTGGCTAAAGTGGTGCTTCAGGTTAAGAACAGTTTCAGGTTAAGTACAGACCTCCGGAACGAATTAAGTACTTAACCCGAGGTAAGGTAAAGGTACCCCTGCCCGTATGGGCCAGTCGTGACCGACTCGAAGGTTGTGCGCTCATCTCATTCAAGAGGCCGTGAGCCGGCGCCGTCCGAGAACACTTCCGGGTCACGTGGCCAGCTTGACGAAGCTGCACTGGTGAGCCAGCACCCGTGCCGCACACGGAAACACCGTTTACCTTCCCACTATAAAGCGGTACCTATTTATCTACTTGCACTTTGACGTGCTTTCGAACTGCTAGGTGGGCAGGAGCTGGGACCGAACGACGGGAGCTCACCCCGCCGCAGGGATTCGAACCGCCGACCTTACGATCAGCAAGTCCTAGGCACTGAGGTTTTACCCACAGCGCCACCCACGTCCCTTTAATACAGTGGTAACCCGAGATACCACTGTATTAAAAGGATGGATGGAAACCTTAGCAAAGGCCAGAGCAGAATGCCCTGATACTGTGCTGCAAAAAAGTAAATTACAGTGGTACCTCGGGTTACATACGCTTCAGGTTACAGATGCTTCAGGTTACAGACTCCGCTAACCCAGAAACAGTACCTCGGGTTAAGAATTTGCTTCAGGATGAGAACAGAAACTGCGCAGTGGTGGCGTGGCGGCAGCAGGAGGCCCCATTAGCTAAAGTGGTGCTTCAGGTTAAGAACAGTTTCAGGTTAAGAACAGACCTCCAGAACAAATTAAGTACTTAACCCGAGGTACCGCTGTATATCCTTAGAACATAGATGCCTCTCTAGCATAAGGTTTCTTAATTTGCATATCTTGACTTCAAAGTTCTTTCTTGAGTTGTGGCGGAGCCCCAAAACCTTTCAGCAAAGGGTGGGGATGGAGGAGTAGAGATTAGCTGCTCCTGACTTAGAGGAAGGATGAGAAATTGGACAGAGAAAAGGAAAATAAGAGTTTATAGGAAGCAGGTGGCAGGGCCTGGGCAGGACCAATAGCCACAATACAAGGAACAACCACCTCCTTCCATTTCTAAGGTTGAATCTGCCACGCAGAAGAATCTCATCAATCGCCACTTTCTTCTCCAAGGGGCACACACCTCAGCTAGGACCCCGAGCACTTCTCACAATAGAAGCTCCAGAGAATACTGGCCACTCACCATTCTGTCTGTTCACTGTAGTCATGGTAACACAGAACCTGTGCCAGTTCCACCAGAATCACAGCCCGCTCGTGAACCCAGCCGCTGCCTTCTGAACAGATGTCCAGCAGATCGCAGATCACGTTGAAGCGCTCCTGGCCAGTGTCTACCCGCACGGTCTTGTAAGCCTTCAGCTCCTCCAACAATACTTTCATGAGGACCTCCGTATCCAAGCTGTATCCCTCCAGGCCCTCCTTTAGAGTCCTGTGATGAACATGCAGGCAAAACAAGAAGGAAAAATTACAACAGACCCAAAGTAGGGCAACTCCAGATTACACGGTTACAATAACACAGTGTGCCTTTTATTCTCATCTTGCCAGATGTCTCCAGGGCCAGCTGCACTGTCAGGCAGAGTGATCTGGCTGCCTCAGGCAGCAGAAATGGTGTTGAGGTGTTTGTGCCCAGAGGTCTGCCCTGCATTTCCTAAGCTAGCCTGTTGTCCTCAGGCTGCCCCATCACGAGTGTGTTCCCCCCACCACAAAAGTACTGTATTTTTTGCTCTATAAGACTCACTTTTTCCCTCCTAAAAAGTAAGGGGAAATGTGTGTGCATCTTATGGAGCGAATGCAGGCTGTGCAGCTATCCCAGAAGCCAGAACAGCAAGAGGGATTGCTGCTTTCGCTGCGCAGCGATCCCTCTTGTTGCTCTGGCTTCTGAGATTCAGAATATTTTTTTTCTTGTTTTCCTCCTCCAAAAACTAGGTGCGTCTTATGGTCTGGTGCATCTTATAGAGTGAAATACGGTACATTAATTAATCAGTTTATTTCAGCATATTAGCATTACACATTTAGCAGTAAGCAACCAAACCACATAGAAAATGAATTTTATCCATGCTATGTAAATTGTGTGTTCTCCCTCTGCATTCGGCAGGTGTGGAGTTGCTAGAGTCAGTCTGTTGGCCACAGGTCCAAGGAGAGCAGCTCAAACAATGCTGCTACAGTGGTATAGGCCCCATGTTGTCTGCCATTAACACTTTTCAGAGTAGGTGTACTGCTGCCAGAATGAAGCTCTTTGTTATTTTAAATAAACTTTAATTTTTAAAATAAAGACAAAATACAAACGTTGAACATATTGATACAAAAGAGGGTGGGGAGAAAAATTAGAATGGATAAGAGGAGCAGAAAAGGGAAAATAATAGCCTACATTAATTTGTGTGGTGCATCTTTTATCATCACAATCCCCAAGGCATGGAGAAATCACTTTATCCTAATCTTCTAAAATATATCACTCCTCAAACTTCATTGGAACATTGAGGGTCTATGTTCTGTCTCTGTTGTATTGATGTATATCAAAAGTTTAGAACAAATAGTACAGAAATGAATCGATTTAGATTCCTCCCTAGTCACTTTTATTTGATATGTGGTAAACACCACTGTTTATGCCTATTGCCAGGACAGTCTGGCTCTGTACATGGAATAGGGAGATGAAACGTTGTCTTTCATGCATCAGAATGTATTGGGTTGGCCCTGGACACAACTGGGATCTCACAAGCAGCAAAGAAACAACGCATTGGGCATCCTACTGTTTGTCCCAGCATCATCTAGCATCAGTCTCTAATTGGGGACTTGTTCCCTATCAACATACCCAATTTATTTTAAGCTGGTGGCAAACTGTGCATAGAAGACCAGCCTCAAGACGCTGGCAAAGTTGGGAAGTTGGTTAACTTGTCTGTACTGAAATTAAAGCCTTGTTTACAAGGACCTCCAAATATGTGGTCTCCATGCAATATGAAGTGGGATTGTGACTACGTCTGTCACACCACACATCATAATGCATGAGAACCCAATGTTGGGACCCCAACATTTTGCACCAGTTTTGAGTGGCAATTACTGCACAGGTTAGGCCTATATATGTTGGATTCTACTGCTGCCACCTATGCGAAGTTTTGCGTGGAACTCTGCAGCAGTGACGTTCCTTCTGCTGCCAATAGGAGTCCTTACATTTGGAGGTTTCCATGAACAGCATGACAGGTTTGGTGGATTCTGTTAAATACCCTGTGGAACATTTTATGGAAACCCCACAAAGGTCAGAAAACAGCAGACTGAGCATTCCCACTTTATCTGATGTCAAGTAACAAAGAATTCTTTTGTTTGTCCTATAGCAGAGATTATAGGAATTTCTATTATAGGAAGTGATATATTTTAGAGAAATATGATATTCAAGGCAGTAGATATAAGGATTTGAAACATCACAGAAGGAAGGATGGGAAGTCAAAATGCTACGGGAATACTGTATGGAAACTGAATTAAAATGTTTAAACTGTATAAAAATCAATTAAAAACTATGACAAAAAAAAAAAAAGGAATTGCATGAGCCATTGTTTTTCTGGGTCTATTTTGGACTGCAAGTGCCTTCAAGTACAGCCCTGTCATAGCTGTTTTGGCAAGCACCATGTGCTTAGATGACAGACGCTTCAGGTTACAGACGCTTCAGGTTACAGACTCCGCTAACCCAGAAACAGTACCTCGGGTTAAGAACTTTGCTTCAAGATGAGAACAGAAATTGCACAGTAGCGGCGTGGCGGCAGCAGGAGGCCCCATTAGCTAAAGTGGTGCTTCAGGTTAAGAACAGTTTCAGGTTAAGAACGGACCTCCAGAATGAATTAAGTTCTTAACCCGAGGTACCACTGTATATACATTTAATATACACAGATTTTATTGCTTAATAGAGTCTTGACTGTTGCTTAAGGGAGGACCTAAGTGTCAGTGGGTATACCAGCCTCATTTCCTATGTTCTTTCTTTAGTGGTAGGATGTGACATGAGGCAAAACTCTCCAGTTCCTTCAGAACCAGCGGTGTCCCTTTTCCCGGAGGAAAGGAGATATAAGCTGGAACATCTTTATGCATGTGAGGCATGGCAGGGAAGATCCATGCCACAAAGAGCAGGAATTGTACTCCTCTTCTAGTAGTCTTATCTGCTGTGATTATCTTCAGAAGCACAAATAAAACAGACATCAGGTTTTAAACTGATGTATGTAAGTCAACAGCCCGCGGGTGGCGCTGTGGGTTAAACCACAGAGCCTAGGACTTGCTGATCAGAAGGTCGGCGGCGACGGGGTGAGCTCCCGTTGCTCGGTCCCTGCTCCTGCCAACCTAGCAGTTCGAAAGCACCTCAAAGTGCAAGTAGATAAATAGGTACTGCTCCGGCGGGAAGGTAAACGGCGTTTCCGTGCACTGCTCTGGTTCGCCAGAAGCGGCTTAGTCATGCTGGCCACATGACCCGGAAGCTGTACGCCGGCTCCCTTGGCCAATAAAGCGGGATGAGCGCCACAACCCCAGAGTCGGTCACTAATGGTCCTAATGGTCTGGGGTCCCTTTACCTTTACCTATGTAAGTCAACTTAAGCACTGTTTCAACAGTGGAAGGACAGGGTGCAGATTTTCCAAAAGCTACGCATATGCAGCAAGACAAATACAAAAGTTTTCCCCCGAACTGCCATTTTCAAGTTCTGACAGGGCAAACCTCAATCCCCCATTTTAAGAGTAATACCCAATCTCTCGGTTCCATTCTTACTTCAGTCTCAGGTCATCAGATTTGCTGGCATCAATTTTGACTTTGACCCAGGCGGAGATTGGCTCTGCCATCTGTTCTGTTATCCTGCTGCCCTGAACAGCCAGCCAGAGTACCACAGCCTGGAGAGCCTCCTCTAACAAGCCCAGTTTCCTGTAATTCTCCACTTGAAGCTTAAAGCAATTGTGTAGCTGTGAAGAGAAAGAAAAGCATTTAAGTGGCATGCAGTGGAGGCTCGTCTTCCTTCCTGAAGAGAAGGAAGTAAAGCCTTTCTAGTTCAGGTTCTCATTAGCTGGAGCAGTGTTTCCTAAACTTGGGTCTCCAGCTGTTTTTGGACTACAATTCCCATCACTCCTGACCACTGGTCTTGTTAGGAGACCCCAGTTTGGGAAACGCTGAGCTACAGCATGAATTGCTCAACTACAGCCTATGCCTTAAAACTGAAACTATGCCAACTAGCTTTATAATGTATATACCAAAAAATCCTGGCAACTCATTAAAGGTTACTGCACTTCTATTTGGCTCTTCTGTCAAAAAGCTCCTGGCTTTATTCATGGGTTATACGTGGTGATGAAGCCTCCTGCAGTGATTGGTTGAACTGCCCTGATGTCACAGATTGTCTGCTCTCAGACTTCTGGATGCCACTGCTAGGGAATCCAAGATGTGACTTGGGAGGGTGGGGGAGAGATAGGGAGGAGCAAAAGCCTACAGAAGGTGCAGGCAGAGGTGTAAGACAACAGTAGGCCCAAGACAGAAGGGTTGGAACATCACACGGTCCACAGAAGAGCTGAAAAACAGGAGGCAAGGAGGAGGGCTGCAATTAAACATACTGGTTTTGAATCTGCCAGCCAAATCATTAGTTGCAGGCCTCTGAGTACCATTTTAATCCTGGCACCTATGAACAGGTTGGACACTATGATGCCCTCCATATACTGTTGGACTCCAACTCCCATCAGCCCCAGCCAGCACAGCCTGGAATGATGGGAATTGCACTACACAAAGTTTGGAGGATGCCATGTTGGCTACCCCTGAGTTAAGTCAAAGCAACAATCCTACACATTTTATAAGTAAACTCCTTTGAACTCAGATGACCTAGCTTTTCAAAGTAATTAAACAGAGTTAAACTTTAAGAGTGATTTGTCCGAGAACCTCCATCCCTCAATCCTGGGGATCTGAACCCAGGGCCAAGTTCATTATTATTCCCATCACACTATGCTAAATTGAACTCAAACAAAATGAGTCTATCCAGAGCTCAGGGAAAACAGCAACCTGCAGATGCACGTTCTGTAGTTCACAGAATTTCGCCCGTGTGTCTCCTCCATGCCAGCTTAGCAAACTACAAGCAACACTTTTCGTTACCTTTTCTGTAGGCAAATCTGAACAACTGACAATCTCCTCCTTCACCAAGCGTCTGCAGAAAAGCTCCACGAAAGAGTTAGACTCCGCATACATCTTATGACAGTAGAAGTTATATGCCAGCCGCGATATACAGTATGCTGTTAGAAGAAGAAAACCGATCTTAAAAGCCACCTTCAATGGGTATTAAAACCTACTTATGCCAGAAAACTACAAAACTGATTACTGGTTCATCTCCCGAAGGAGAAATCCAATTGACCCAACTGATCCTGTATGGTCCAGGATACTTCCACTAGGAAGCTCCTTATAACAGTGTTGTTTACACTGACTGGCAGCAGCTCTCTAGGATTTTCAGATGAGAGTCTCTGCCAGCCCTACCTAGAGATGCCAGGGATTGAGACTGGAATGCTTTACCCCTAAGCTACAGCTCTTCTCCTTGGTCCAAAACTTGCCCATTCAAACTGTTATGTACTGAGTTGAATAGGATCTAAAATGCAGCAGTCTGGTTGGTCCTAGAACAATAGGATCCAAAATGCAGCAGTCTGATTGGTCCTAGAACAATAGAATTCAGAATGCAGCAGTCTGACTGGTCCTAAAACAATGCAGCAGTCAGATTGGTCCGCAGGAGCCACCCAATCCAGCTCCAGGTGGAAGTGAATCCACAACCTGATTGGCCTCCAGGAGAATCCTGGAATTAGCCAAACACATGCAGCCCATTGTGTAAATAATGTATATAAAGCAGATATTGTTGGGGAACTTCCATTCCTCCTCACCACTATGAGCTGAATAAAGAGCATGAAATCCACTCTCGACTCAGAGTTTTCACAAACTTTGTTCTGAAAAGGTAATGAGCTCAAAGAAGCCATAGTTGTTTACCATCATGACTTCGGGTTGCTGATCAAATTTTAACTAGCACAATATTTTCAATTAAGCCAAGGGCAGAAGGACCAATATAGACAAAACTCTGCACAAAATCAAGACACAGGTGAAGGTCTCTTCTTAAACAAGCTCTTTCTCAGAGTCAATAGCAACAGCGATTTGGTTTTTCCCTTTACACACCTTCAGCGGCTCATTACCCCTCTGTTAATCAGGATTGCGCACAACTCAGATGCTGAGATAATTGTAGCAGAACCTCTCGTACCGCTCACACCTCTGGCGTGAGTTGAGGAGCCCCTTGCTTGTGCCTCAGGAGACAGAACCAAGAAAAAGGACCCTTGGGATACATGGGGCCCTCAGTTACCAATCCCTAATCCCATCCAGTTATCTCCCGCTTGGACTACTGCAATGCGCTCTACGTGGGGTTACCTTTGAAGGTGACCCGGAAACTGCAATTAATCCAAAATGCGGCAGCTAGACTGGTGACTGGGACTGGCTGCCGGAACCACATAACACCGGTCCTGAGAGATCTGCATTGGCTCCCAGTACGTTTCCGAACACAATTCAAAGTGTTGGTGCTGACCTTTAAAGCCCTAAACGGCCTCAGTCCTTTATACCTGAAGGAGTGTCTCCACCCCCATCGTTCTGCCCGGACGCTGAGGTCCAGCGCCGAGGGCCTTCTGGCAGTTCCCTCATTGCGAGAAGTGAGGTTACAGGGAACCAGGCAGAGGGCCTTCTCGGTAGTGGCGCCTACCCTGTGGAACGCCCTCCCTTCAGATGTGAAGGAAACACGCAGCTATCCTATCTTTAAAAGACATCTGAAGGCAGCCCTGTTTAGGGACGTTTTTAATATTTAATGCTGCATTGTTTTTAACATTTGATTGGGAGCCGCCCAGAGTGGCTGGGGAAACTCAACCAGGGTGGGGTATAAATAATAAATTAATTATTTTATTATTATTATTATTATTATTATTATTATTATTATTATCCTCCATCAGAATTTTAGCGAGTGACCAAGTTCTCCAGCAAGTTCATCTTGCCAAAGGCAATCTACCCACCCACACACCTATTGAAGAGAGAAAGGTGGACACCTCAGAGACTGAGCTGCCAAAAATGAAGAGTGCATTCTTCATTCTTATGGCCCCCAACTGATCTGTACACAGCTGCATCTGCCCCACCTTCAGACTTGGACAGCTGGAGAAGGACAGCTGTTCGTCTTGGAAACCAACCTGAGAAATCCAGGTACTCGGCCTGCTCTTTCTTGGGAAGTCCTACTAGCATATCCAACATCCAGGTGACAACCTTCTGAAGATACACCAGTAACTCTGGCAGTGCTGCAGATTCTGGCCCCTGTGTGGAAATCCAAAAATTTTAGGAATTAAAACAGGAAGGGGAACTTCAAGACTCAAAGCAACAGTTCACCACAGGGCATCTGAAACAGATAGTAGATCATCACCTTGATCAAGTTCAATAGTCAAAGTACCTAGGGTCAGTTAGGAAAACTATGCTGCACCTGATATGGTATGATTGAGGAATTGTGGGTGTGCTGCAGTCTCCTTCCCCCTTTTTTAAAATAAAGTATTACTAGAAATAGAATGATACAAGAATAGAAAAGAGCATAGAAAAGCATAAAAGGTTAAGAGAGTATGACAGTGAAGAAAAGACTGCAAGAAAACACAGTTAAAAGTTTGACATTTCAAAATAATTAACTTCACTATTTCTCATGTACTTAATATATGCTTAATAAATGTATTGCTCCTCTGAACACTTTACAGACACTGCCTGCTTCATCGTCTTGATACGGTATGACACTCTCAGAGAAGCATGAATTCAGTCTCTGTCCCCAAAATTCCTTATTTTCTTTTAATATAATTCACTAACCAAGGCTTCTTTAAACTCCTCCTGCATTTTCATCACTGTCAATTGTATTAATCCAAACTGCTAATCAATTCAGTTTCAAGATATTATCTTTCCAGTACCTAGCATGCAATATTCTTTTTAAGTATAGGGTGATTCTATAGTTACCTGCAGCCACTGACACACCACAGTATTTTGCATATAAATTCATCTTAATTACTTTGTGGCCCAAGACTTCAGCCTTCATTTTGCATGCCTTCCAGCCACAAGTACTTGTGTCTACTTTATTCTTCCTGTGCATCAACTCATTATCTAAGCAATTTGGAACTTACACACATTTGTTTGCATGATTAGGATAAGCTAGCAATTTCCCATCATCTTTCAGTGTGCCTGTCAATTATATTTTGATTTGCAGATCTTTACAGAATCAAAAGTTCCTCCTTCAAGGCATAAGATAGCCACCACATCACATCCTATTGCTTTTTTAGCAAGATATGCTCACTTTGGTCCATAAATAGCAACACCCTAGTGGTCCCGGGCCCTAAGGAAGTTAGATTAGCCTCAACCAGAGCCAGGGCCTTTTCAACACTGGCTCCGGCCTGGTGGAACACTCTGTATCATGAGACCAGGGCCCTGCAGGATCTGATCTCTTTCCGCAGGGCCTGTAAGACAGAGTTGTTCCGCCTGGCCTTTGGCTTGGAGCCAATTTGATTCCCTCCCCCTCTTTCTTTTTTCTTTTTCCTTTCTCCCCCTATAATGAGGCTGCATTTTAATGTTTCAATATTTTAATGTTTTATTTTAATCTTGTTTTTAAGTTGTATTCATTCAACTTGTTTTTATTATTGCTTGTTAGCCGCCCTGAGCTCGGCTTTGGCTGGGGAGGGCGGGGTATAAATAAAAATTATTATTATTATTATTATTATTATTATTATTATTTGATGTGTGCATTCTTGGTAGGAGAAGAGGCTTGTGCCACACATTACACAGTGTGCCTTTTGTGTGCATTATGTTTCTGCCCTTCAGAGGTCAGCTTCCACGCTCACAGCTAAAAAGAAATAACACTTTTATTTATGAACCATGGGCATTCTGTTGATGTGAAAGAAACCATGTCAGTATCTTGTCTATACAGTTGTACCTCAGAAGTCGAACAGAATCTGTTCCAGAAGTCCATTCGACTTCCAAAGCACAGCTTCTGATTGGCTGGTGGAAGCTCCTGTACCCAATCAGAAGCCGTGGAAGCCCTGTTGGATGTTTCGCTTCAGAAAGAACGTTCGACTACCAAGGCGTTCAGGAGCTGAGGTACGACTGTATAGGAATTGGGTAGGTGATAAAAGTGTGCTTTTTCTTGTTTGATCAAAGTTCCATTTAGCCCAGAACTGTCTTCTTCAGAGATGGGGAATCTGTGGCTCTCCAGATGTTGTTGGACTACAACTCCCAACAACCTCAGCCAGCATGGTCAATGCTCAGGAATGATGGGCGTTCCATCTAGCCGTGTTTGGAAGATCACAGGTTCTTCATCCCTAGTCTACTATGACAGGGAGCAGCAATTCAACAAATCTCCTGGCAAATGTCTTTCACAGTCCTGCTACCAGACATTTGGACAGAAGACCAAAAGCTCCCCAACTGAGGCAGCAAACAACTTAAAGAGAGTAAGACTTGTTTATCCTGCCCAAGGAAGACAACCTCAGTCTTACTTCCACAAACTGAATGTTTTTGTCCATTCAAGACAGACTTACCTGCAGAGCCTGTAGAGTATCAGATACCAAAGTTGTGTATATCTGGAAGTAGTGGTACAGTTGCTTCTTCAGAGTTTGCTGCTGTCTCATGTTCTCCGGCAGAACCTTATACAAGACAAAGACGACAGAAAGTATTTGGAACAATTCCAGGTCAAACCTGTATAAGATTACTCGCAAAACCTTTAATGTGTTGAAAGCCCTCCTAAAAATCCCATTAAAACAAAAACAGTAGCACCCTAGTGACAGCAGAGGAACTGGCCTATTTTAATTTGAGACAGGAAAAATACAATTTATTAATCTACCTACCACCATTGGCAGAGTTTACAAAGTCTTTTCACACTTCAATGTAAAATGCAATAGATGAGAACTTGGAAAACATATTTCTGAGATGTAACGCCAACATTTGCATTCTAAAAATCCGATTGTGCCCCCTCTTCTCTCTCACACACACCAACTATATAAAAGGCTGTACTTTGAAAATCAACTTTCTAGATCTCACAATAGCAGAGCAAAGGTATTTATCCTACCTACCCCCTCCCACCTCCTCTTGCCCACACAGGTTAAACCAGGGGTTGTCAACCTGGTCCCTACTAGTGGGGCGTTTCAGGATTCTAAGTGGGCGGTAGGGGGTTCTACGGCACAAGCTGAATCCTCCTTCCATCAAGCACTGGTGGGCGGTAAGGGAATTTTACCATCAAGAAAGATGCATTAGTGGGCGGTAGGTATAAAAAGGTTGACTACCCCTAGGCAAAACCAATGGAATAAAACATGTTTTGAAAGCCTTAAGTGTTCGTTGAACCACATTCATTGAATCTCTGCATAGTCTGCACCTTCCCCTCCCCAAATCCAGGATAAAACCCTATTGTTTACATCTCAGCCATGCACTACTGCTCTCACAAAGACATCCAGGACTGTATGAAAGTATAGGCAGGGAAAGCTTTACTCACTAAACTCATCAGCTTCTGGAGTAATGTGACGTAACTTTCCATGAAGGCAGAGATCCCCAGAATATCACGCAGGTTAAAGAGGCCCTGTTTGCTGTTCTTTGCAAGTCCAGAGAAAGGGGTTACGAGCAACTGGCAGCTTTCAGTCAGCACTCTAAGCAGGGGCTCTTGAGCATCTGGTGAGGAGTTTAGAGCCTGAGTAGCTTGGATGAAGAAGGGCTCTACTGAACCCTCAGCCTGCACCAACACTTTGTTCAGCTCAATTCCAGCAGAGAGTACGTCTAAAGCCACACTAAAGAAACGGCCCTCATTGCTGGACTTTCTCAAGTAGCCTCTGAATTGCTGGAGAACTTCATCGCTCTCTTTGAAGCAGCCACTTTTGCAGAGGTAACGGCACCTCAGCACAGTGAGCTCTAAGATGCAGAGACAGTCCTGGAAGGCCAAATGCGCAGCCACACCCCTCTTTTCCAGAAGGGCAGCAACCAACTGGTGGAATAACTCTGCACTGAGAAAATGGGCCTCTTCCTTTCCCAGCGGACTCCGCTGGGCCTCAAATGTCACAGCTGCAATGCAGGCATGCCGGGCCACGTTGGAGGTGAAGTACGGGGCCTCCTGAAGCGAGAGGTTGCCGGCATCGTTCTCCAGAAGCATCAAGAAGCGTACAGCTTGCAGATGGGTAGAGAGCACAGCCCTGAACTCTGCCAGACTCTTGTCCAGTTTAGCCCTGCCGTCCGCACCCTTCCACAGCACGCCAAAGGTGCTTTTGGCAACAGCCGCATAGTCATCAGCAGGCACCTGGGGAGGCTGGTACTTCAAGAGTTCCCCATAGAGGAGATCAGCAAACCTTAGGGAAGAATCATAGGAGCCCTGAGCAACCATACCCCTCAGCAAATGGAACAGCAACTTTTCCAAGTAGAGGGGAATATACTGGAGCCTTGCTGCAGTGTAGCCACCATAGGCTGCCTCGGCTAGGGCCTGGAGACTTTCCAAGTGAGCAGGACAGTCCAAACCTTCACCAAGCCTGTGGATGCAAGCCCGTAGGATTCTATCACATGCTGTGACCTGTTTGGAGGCTTGGCATGGGCTGTCTGCATTTTTGGGTTCCCCCTCAAGGCATTCCTGAAATTGAGAGGAGACTTTTAATATCATTGTTAGACCATCTCACCATTTTTTAAGGTTTGCTAAGCCCCTACTGGAGGCAATGTAACTATGTGTACCAAGAATGGGGAACTCTATGGCCCTCCAGATGTTTCTGAACTTCAGCCACCATTAGTCCCAACCAGCATGGTCAGGGATGATGGGAGCTGGAGTCCCACAACAACATATGGATGACCACAGGTTCTCCATCACTGATTTATACAAACAGAAAAGCATGCATCCAGAGTCCCATTTGGGCATTGTGAGATTTGGCATTTTTTTCCTCCCAGCACAGTTCTACGTTCAACACAGGAAGGCTGTTAGAACACCCCATGCAAGTCACCACCAGGAACCATATCAGCTAAAAGACCGCCATGTCAACTTAAGTAATGGTCAGTTAAAGGTTTCCAGAAAGCTCACAAGCTATTTATCCCCCAATAACTGATATTCATATTCACAGATATACTGTGTCTAATTCTTGGGATTCCATTTACCCACCATGGCGAATAATAGCCATAAAACCCTCTTTCAAAAGCCATTCCTTATCAACACATCTAGCAGCATTACCTTCAACTCAGACAGCAAAGTCAGTGTTTCTTGGGAAGTGCTGGTCCGCGCCACAAAATCCACATCTTTGAGGAACTTCATCTCGCATCCTGCAGAAAGTAAGAATGCAAATAAAATTACCAGCCCATACGCAGAGCTGAGCTAGGTCTCTCTCTCTCATTTAGCCTGGTCCTATATCCCTCATCCCTACCTTGTTACAGTACAAAATCGTTACAGTGTCACTGAATTGGAAGGGACCCTGAGGCTCATCTAGTCCAGCCCCCTGCAATGCAAGAATCTTTGAGTCACATCTCCTATCTTGGTGCTTAAACGGCAATAATTTACACCAGAAAAAAATGGGCTGCTACTGGTGGCAACAGTGTGTTGGCACAGAAAACCATAAAATAGTAAGTCCCAACTAGACCAGAGCTTACTGAGCTCAAGAAAGGCTTCCATATCTGGACTGCCACACACACAAACACACCTTGAGTCTCTCACTGTTGCTTGCATGCCAATTCCTCTCGCTACATATGGAGCATAAGAAAAGCCTGGCTGCTAGGTCATTTAAAAGAGGTAATTGATTGGGTTGCTAAGCCACTTTTCATTCAAATGAACTTCAAAGCAGTTTACGAACAAGAAACAAGAACAAACAGCAATAAATTAATAAATGACAACAACATAGCAGAATAGAACATCACAAACAAACACAACTCATATAAAGCAACTGACAATCAATTAAACAATCTACAAAACACAATTAACGAAGCAGCAATAAAGAAAACAGGCTAAACCTCACAATTACATTGGAAGCCGTGTTATATGCTTAACGAATCAAAACGGCATTTATAGCCTATTGGGGGCAGGGAAGGACGCCTGGAAGGGCCCCTTTTACCTCAATGCAACCCCTGCGCTTCAAGCCACCAAACTCCTCCCAAGCCCGCCAGTACCTAAACCGAATTCCGCCCTGAGGGGCGTTCACACTGGCTCCAAAAAACACCTCACAACCCTCTTCCCAGGCTGGGCTCGGACTCCGCCACCTTTCGGGATAGAAAACCGGTTCGGCTGCTCTGGGATATATTCTCTGGCACTATAGAAAGGACTCGGCTCGGATTCGGATTGCGTCGTGTAGACGCACCCCTCCCCCTCCCCCCCCACACACTCCCAGTATCTTACTCCCAGTCTCCCGACGACCCCTCGAAGTCGGCGGGGCCGCTTCCCTAACCGGTAACCGCGCGAGGCAAACAAGCGAGGAAGCCCGCAAGCGGAACCGCGCCCCGCGCGCTCCCCGTTCAAATCGGCGCCCGCGGCCAATCCCCGTCGCCGCCGCCTTGCAAGCCCCGCCTTTCCCGGGCTGCGCTTCCCCGCTGCGGAAACAGCGTAGCGCCTCGTGGGATTTGCTCCGGCTGCTGCTTGCTGCAAGCTAGTCCTACCTCCGGAATGCATTGCCGCTTGGCGTAGGATCGCGTGTGTTATTGCTGCGGCCAGTGATGGGCTACGGCGGACCCGTCGCCCATGGATTTGAACTTAGGAGAGGAGATTCCGACTAAACTTTCTGACAGGAAGAGTGGAACGGTGGAGGTTTTAAAGCAGAGGTTGGATGGATGGCCATCTGTCACGTTTGCTTTAATTGAGATTTATGCATCTCAGGGGGTTGGGCTAGATGACTCTTGGGGTGCCTTCCAACTCTTCAGTTCTCTGATTTCCTTCCGCACGTGAAAGGGATCGGATCCTCGGCTCACCGTTCTTGCAGAAAGCTGGCGAAGTGGGTGTTGGTTGGTTTTTGAGGTATTTTTAATCCTTGTTGGAAGCCGCCCAGTGTGGCTGGGGAAACCCAGCCAGATGGGCGGGGTACAAATAATAAATTATTATTATTATTATTTTGCTCGGTGTTGCAGATTTTTGTTACTTTCGCGTGCATTTATTGGGAGGACAGGACATGGGCGTAGCTAGGATTTTTGTTAGGGAGGGCAGGCTTTTGTTTTGGGAAGGGCAAAACCTCAGATTTGTATTGATTTTGATAGATTGGGGGCAGCTGCGCACCTGCCCCCCCGGCTACGCCCATTGGGGAGGATACTTTATTTTTTTTTACAGGGGAAACTGGACTGGACGTGCTCTTCTGGTGAACCGGCTACCTCTCGCTTATGCATCCTGAGCATTTGCCATTATTTACCCGGGCGTACGCCGCACCGATTTCAAAGCGTCTTACTCCCAAGCAAGCGTCGCAGTAAAGGGAGATGACCAAAGCCAATCGGCAGTGCAGGAACAAATCACCCCAAATGTTGCCCTGTGCAGAATAAACGGATTGAAGTCCGTGGGGCTGGGCTTGAGCAACCTCTCGCCTTCTGGACTACCAATTCCCATCAGTCCCAGTTTGCATAGCAGCTGGGAGTCCAGTAGCCTGGATGCCCAAAGGCTCTCCAGCCCTGCAGGTAGACCTGCACGCACAGGGTCGCGGTGGTCAAGAGATCGAGAGCCGTCGCCACGGGCTCCCCTGATATTGTGCCACCGCCAGCTTCTTTGGCCGCGATTGCTGCAAGCAGCCCACGGACGCCGTCGGTTTCCTAAGTGGGGAATCAACTTTCAGAGGGGAAGTTGCGACAGTCAGAGCCAAAGGTGCTGCTGCTGCCGCCGCCGCCACCTTAAAAGACGACATAGAATTGTGGGTGCAGTTTGCAGAGCGAGGGTGAAATCATAGAAGCTGTCGGGGCAACGGCAGCGCGCGCGGGCGCGCAGCCGGCTTACCTACCCAGCGGTTTTGCTCGACGGTTGTTGAGCTGCAACTGGTCGGAGGTCGACCTGATGGCCACCAGCTCCAAACCTCTCCAGCCCGTCACTCACGTCATTTTCGACCTGGACGGCACCCTTTTGAATACCGAAACCCTTTACACCGAAGTGATGAATGATGTCTGCGGCCGCTACGGGAAACAGTTCACTTGGGACGTGAAATCCTCCATCATGGGCAGAAGGGAAGCGGAAGCGGTGGTGATGATTCAAAAGGCCCTGGACCTCCCCATAAGCCCAGACCAAATCATGGAAGAAAGTAAGAAGAAGAAGAAAGAGTTGTTCCCCAAATCCGTGTTTTTGCCAGGCACAGAAAAACTCATCCGCCATTTGCATCAGCACAAGATACCTATGGCTGTGGCCAGCAGCTCCATTAAAGAGTCATTTGACATGAAAACAGTCCACCACCAGGCCATATTTCAATTATTTCACCATATTGTGCTGGGAGATCACCCGGAAGTGAAGGCTGGCAAGCCAGCGCCTGATATTTTTCTGGTCTGCGCTAAGAAATTTGAGCCTCCGGCCCCTCCAGAAAAGTGCCTCGTGTTTGAAGATGCGCCCAACGGGGTCAAGTCAGGTGTAAGTGCCGGCATGCAAGTGGTCATGGTTCCGGATGAACACCTGGCGAAAGAGTTAACCAAGGAAGCAACCCTGGTCCTCCCCTCCATGAGTGACTTCAAGCCAGAAATGTTCGGCTTGCCAAAATTTCAATAAGGGATACAGTTTCGTGTTGACTGCGTTAATCTTGCCATATTGGAGGAAATAGCAAACTCCTTATTTTTTATTATTAAAAGGCTCACCAGCCCTATTATAAGTTATAGTCTCCATTTCTCCCAGGTCATTTATTGAAATCCGTGAATGCTAGAGAGAAAAAATGGGCCGTGCATGCTATGCCCCTCTTAGCAATTGACTTCTGAAAGTCCCATTTTTGGCAGTAGCCCCCGCCCCTCCAAAGAGATTTGACCCTGAATTGCAGAGCCACTTGGGGAATACCAGACAGGGTGGAAAAGGGGCAGGGGAATCCTTGGGTGTGAATGCAAACATTTTTCAAAGCTCACCTACTGTGTTAATAATAATAATAATAATAATAATAATTTTTATTTATACCCCGCCCTCCCCAGCCAAGGCCGGGCTCAGGGCGGCTAACAGACAATAATAAAAACAAGTTGAATGAATACAACTTAAAAACCAGATTAAAATACAACATTAAAATATTGAAACATTAAAATATTAAAATGCAGCCTCATCACAGGAGGAGAAAGGGAAAAAGAAAGGGGGAGGGAATCAAACTGGCTCCAAGCCCAAAGGTCAGGAACAACTCTGTCTTACAGGCCCTGTGGAAAGAGATCAGATCCTGCAGGGCCCTGGTCTCATGAGGCAGAGTGTTCCACCAGGCCGGAGCCAGTGTTGAGAAGGCCCTGGCTCTGGTTGAGGCTAATCTAACTTCCTTAGGGCCCGGGACCTCTAGGGTGTTGCTATTTATGGACCTTAAGGTCCTCCATGGGGCATACCGGGAGAGGCGGTCCCGTAGGTATGAGGGTCCTAGGCCGTGAAGGGCTTTAAAGGTCAAAACCAGCACCTTGTACTCCTGTACCCTGTACTCCACCGGGAGCCAGTGTAGCTTGAAAAGCACTGGGTGAATATGCTCCCATGGCAGAGACCCCATGAGGAGCCTCGCTGCAGCATTCTGCACCCGCTGGAGTTTCTGGGACTATCTTGCCTTGTTTATCTTTCCACATTTTGCAATGATCTGCCTTCTGGTTTTATTTACTCGTTTTCTTATTGCATTTGTCTCACACCTTTATTAGCTCAAGTGAGCATATGTGATTCTCCCATTCTCTAGAGATAGGTTAGGCTGAGATGGTGGACTGGGCCACAGTCAGCTAGCTCTTTGCATGAACTGGGAATTTGAACCTGGGTCACCCAATGCTCTAGTCTCAACTCCCAACCGCTCCAAACATATAAAACTCTGCCTTCTGGATTGAAAGGGAGATGGCACAAAGTAGAAAACATTATTCTGCCACCAAAGTCTCATTTGTCTCAAGGATTGTTGCCCAACTAACTCTATACATTATAAACCTGAACTTGGCCTTATTTGTGTTGACAGAAGTACAGGTTTTTAAAAGTAATTTATAAGTAGTGCGCTGTTTAGACATCTCCGCCTCCAGTTTACATATTTATGTTTATGAAGGACTATTCAGAATGTAACTAGAAATTTATAAATGTAAACTGAATCCTTCCTCCTGCAGCATGATCTTAATCTAATAATAATAATTTTATTATTTATACCCCACCCATCTGGCTGGGTTTCCCCAGCCACTCAGGGGAGCTTCCAGCACACATAAAAACATAATAAAACATCAAACACGAAAACCTTCCCGATACAGGACTGCCTTCTGATATCTTCTAAAAGTTGTGTGATTCTTTATCTCCTTGACATCTGATGGGAGGATGTTCCACAGGGTGGGTGCCACCACCGAGAAGGCCCTCTGCCTGGTTCCCTTTAACTTCACTTCTCACAGCGAGGGAACTGCCAGAAAGCACTCAGAGCTGGATTTCAGTGTCCGGGCTAAATAATGGGGGTAGATTAGATGGCCCTTTTTGTTAGAAAAGTAAAAAATACTGCACCAGGACATTGCAGTAGCTACTGGGTGGTTGGGTATTACAGGGATCCTGCAGTGAGATAAAATAGCTCATTGGATGAAGAGCAGGTCCCACAGAAAACCCTTCTCTATCCACAAACCTGTACCTACTCATCCTTTTACTTGGTATAACATCTCTGCCAATAACCATTATTTTTGGCATTTCTCCCACCAGTGCCAAAAAAGGCAACTTGCAGGAGTACTGCAAACTTACCTGTAGAAACACCTTTTACAGCACACACTTTGCAGGTTAGAAGTAGAATTACCACGTAATTCTTTCACAGGAATGGTGGCATTCATGGGTGTTGTTGTTTTTTATTACATAGAGACTTCTAAACCTTATGTGGAAAGACGACCAGCTCTATTAGGCAGATTGAGACAGCTGCCACAGGCCACACTGACTTGGGGTGTTACGAAAGGACAGGAAATGATTATTTTTACTCCCAGGAAGAGAGGGGGAGGCACTTGTGGGCTATTCTGTCTCAAGTGTTAAAGTCATGAGGTTGTCCTTGGGTGCTGTGAACACGATACCGTTTTGATCCCCAGCATCTCTAGGTAATAATAATAATTTTTATTTATACCCCGCCCTCCCCAGCCAAGGCCAGGCTCAGGGTGGCTAACAAACAATAATAAAAACAAGCTGAATGAATACAACTTAAAAACAAGATTAAAATACAACATTAAAATACTGAAACATTAAAATATTAAATGCAGCCTCATCACAGGAGGAGAAAAGAAAAAGAAAAAAGAAAGAGGGGGAGGGAATCAAAGTGGCTCCTAGCCAAAGGCCAGGCGGAACAACTCTGTCTTACAGGCCCTGCTGAAAGAAATCAGATCCTGCAGGGCCCTGGTCTCATGAGACAGAGCGTTCCACCAGGCTGGAGCCAGTGTTGAAAAGGCCCTGGCTCTGGTTGAGGCTAATCTAACTTCCTTAGGGCCTGGGACCACTAGGGTGTTGCTATTTATGGACCTTGAGGCTCTCCGTGGGGCATACCAGGAGAGGCGGTCCCGTAGGTAGGGCCTAAAGTGCCACCACCATCAGTCATTGTGGACAATACTGAGCTAAATGGACCAGTGGTCTAAGTAATAAGGCACTTTCCTGTGTTGGAATATCTACAAGGGTAGATTGACACCATACATTTAAAGCACATGACTTACCCCATAGAAACCTTGGAATTGTAGTTTCCCCCCCACAGAACTGCAACGCCCAGTGCCCCCAAACTACAGTTCCCAGGATTCTTTGCGGAGAGGTCATGAGATTTGAATATGTGTTGAATGTCCTTCAAATTACAGTGGTACCTCGGGTTAAGTACTTAATTTGTTCCGGAGGTCCGTACTTAACCTGAAACTGTTCTTAACCTGAAGCACCACTTTAGCTAATGGGGCCTCCTGCTGCTGCCGCGTCGCCGGAGCATGATTTCTGTTCTCATCCTGAAGCAAATTTCTTAACCTGAAGCACTATTTCTGGGTTAGCGGAGTCTGTAACCTGAAGCGTATGTAACCTGAAGTGTATGTAACCTGAGGTACCACTGCAATGTGTTGGATCTGCCCCCAAGAGAGTTTCCTAATTTCCAGCACAGACAGAGGGGAAACTAAGGCTTGTTGCCTCTGTAAAATCTGTAGCATATAAAGTGCACTGGAAGAACCGTATAAGCAAGAGAAATAATTTGGGGATGGGGGTGGATTAATGCCTAAGGGTACTTTTGCACCTGAAGCAAAACATCTTCCCTTTAAGAAGGGCTCACAACTGGAGATTGATAGCAGGAAAATGGCACACCCAATAGAATCAGCTGCCTAAAGCAACCACTCAATATTACTTTTATATTTTTGTATTTATTAGATTTATATACCGCACTTCATCGTAAGATCTCAGGGTCACATTGAAAGTATGAAGGGCCACCTGGAAGGTTCTGTATCATTTCACCTTCTAGGGAGAACCACAAACACATAAGCACCTTTCACACACACCACAAATGCACAATACAACCATGCACCAGAATTCGAGCATTTACTCCATTCTGAATTAGAGATAAGTAAAGGTAAAGGGACCCCTGACCATTAGGTCCAGTTGTGGCCGACTCTGGGGTTGCGGCGCTCATGTCGCTTTATTGGTCAAGGGAGCTGGCGTACAGCTTCCGGGTCATGGGGCCAGCATGACTAAGCCGCTTCTGGCCAACCAGAGCAGCGCACGGAAACGCTGTTTACCTTCCCGCCGGAGCGGGACCTATGATCAGCAAGCCCTAGGCTCTGTGGTTTAACCCACAGCGCCACCCGCGTCCTGAATTAGAGATAGCCCAGCACAATTTTCAGCATGCGGTGGCAAATGTATGGGTGTGACAAACCTTCCAAAACAAATACCACCTGAACTAAGTTAGGTTGATAATTCTGGGCTGAAAGTAGGAACGGTCCAACAGGTTTGTCAAGTATGACTGCTCTTGCAACTCTCTCTTTACAACTGATGATGTTAATTGGGCAGGGGTACTGCAAAGAGGGGACGTGGGTGGCGCTGTGGGTTAAACCACAGAGCCTAGGACTTGCCAATCAGAAGGTCGGCGGTTCGAATCCCCGCGACGGGGTGAGTTCCTGTTGCTCGGTCCCTGCTCCTGCCAACCTAGCAGTTCAAAAGCACATCAAAGTGCAAGTAGATAAATAGGTACCGCTCCAGCGGGAAGGTAAATGGCGTTTCCGTGCGCTGCTCTGGTTTGCCAGAAGCAGCTTAGTCATGCTGGCCACATGACCCGGAAGCTGTACGCCGGCTCCCTCGGCCAATAAAGTGAGATGAGCGCCGCAACCCCAGAGTCGGCCACGACTGGACCTAATGGTCAGGGGTCCCTTTACCTTTACTGCAAAGACAGGCAGTAGTAGAAGTTGCAAGCAAGTATCTGCAGACATAATCCTGCATGTTCCAGGCTCTGGTGACTTGGATGGAGATAGAGGCAACCCATTTCCAAGGAGACAAAATATTTCTTCCTCATCCCCATGAGAGATCCTGTTTCGTTATTCTTTGCGTACTGCTAGGCATTAGTGACCCTGTTTTAGGCTTATATATTACTAATTGTCCCCACCTAAGGCGGGTGGCGTGTGGGTTAAACCACAGAGCCTAGGACTTGCCGATCAGAAGGTTGGCGGTTCGAATCCCCGCAATGGGGTGAGCTCCCGTTGCTCGGTCCCCAGTTTGAAAGCACGTCAAAGTGCAAGTAGATAAATAGGTACCGCTCCGGCGGGAAGGTAAACGGCGTTTCTGTGCGCTGCTCTGGTTCACCAGAAGCAGCTTAGTCATGCTGGCCACATGACCTGGAAGCTATACGCCGGCTCCCTCGGCCAGTAAAGCAAGATGAGCGCTGCAACTCCAGAGTCGATCACAACTAGACCTAATGGCCCTTTACCTTTAAGGTAAGAATCATCTCCAGGCAACCAGACAGATCTTAAACATGAAAGGGTTTGGATAGTGGTTTTTATTTCCCCCCTACTCTTTTGTTACCACCAATCTACCACAAATAAGTAACTGGTATACCGTAATTGGGCCCATCTGTTGGAGATTTCAAACATCTAAAAGCTCAAGTTTGTTCACCCGGACCTATTTGGATATTTGAGAGTGTTATCCTGCCCAGTTGTTGACTTGCTGTTTCAAACAATGGATTTTAAAGGTATTTATTCTGCTCTGATTTGTATCTGCATTCTGTTGTACAGTGGTGCCCCGCAAGACGAATGCCTCGCAAGACGAAAAACTCGCTAGACGAAAGAGTTTTCCGTTTTTTGAGTCGTTCCGCAAGATGAATTTCTCTATGGGCTTGCTTCGCAAGACGAAACGTCTTGCGAGTTCTTGCGAGTTTGTTTCCTTTTTCTTAAAGCCGCTAAGCCGTTAATAGCCGCTAAGCCGCTAATAGCCGTGCTTCGCAAGACGAAAAAAACGCAAGACGAAGAGACTCGCGGAACGGATTAATTTCGTCTTGCGAGGCACCACTGTACCCAGGTTTTATAATTTTTGTAAACTGCCCAAGGATTTTTGCCAAAAAGGTTTGGCGGTTATCCGCATTTTCTGAACTAACGTGAAATTTGTGGGGCAGTAACTTCTGTGGCCTTATTTGCAAGACTGCCCTGTTCACAAACCCAGCAGTGGGCTGAACAGAGGTGGGAGTGGGAGAATGAGAAAATTATAGAACTGTAGTTGGAAGGAACCACGAGGATCATGTAATCCAACCTCTTACAATGCAGGAATCTTTTGACCAACGTGGGGCTAATATTATTCCAAGATGCAACCTGCCTAGAAACACATCTTGCAAACTGTTGTCACCCAGACAAGAGGTTCAAAGCCTTCTGAAGGGCCCTGAATGGGGTGGGTCGTGCTCATGGATTCCCTTAGCTTTCTGCCATAACTCTAGGCAACATTATGCTACTGAAATGGTTATCCTTTGGCAACATGTACACGGTACGTTTCCACCACATTCTGATGTGGCAAAAAGTGATAAATCGCCCAGAGATCTACCAGGAGATGCACATCATCCCTTCTGCCTGCCTGGGTACCAAAGCAGGAGGGGAAATCAAGGCTTACACATCTGTTCACATGGTAATCACAAATTAGCAAGAGAAATTCTTCAGTAACAAGTAGAACTGATATACATTTTTGAAAAAACCAGTCATTCCTGTTGGGAATGGTGGGAGAAGACATTGACAAGAATGACCAGAAACTGTTCTTATACACAACCACGGCGGCGAGGTTACTGTTGGCTCAGGTACGGAAACAGCAAAAATTGCCTACAATAGAAGAATGGCAGTACAAGGTTATGGAAGACGCAGAAATAGCCAAATTAACAGCAAAAATTTGACATCAGGGGGATGAAACATATCAAAAAGAATGGGGAAAATTTATGTTATATATAGAGAAGATGATGTGAAATAGGGAAACCAGAAGAATTAAAATAATATCACATAACGGGAAAATACCAGAAATTTACTGGATAATAATATCAAAATGAATTAAAAATGTATATTAGGATTATTATTGAACAATATTTGTAAATGAATATAGACAGACAGCAAGAATTTGTATGTATAGAAAGATTTATTTGTTTACGGACATTTAATGGAAAAAATGAAGAAGAACAGTCTTGTGGAAAACGGACAATGACAATGCGAAAAGTCAAAGAGGACACAAAAAAGCCAGAAGGAAGGAGGGAAGTCAGCTCGGGAGAGCAAGAACAAATGTGAAATATAATGAATGTGTATGTACAGTATGTAACTAAAAATTCAATAAAGATCATCTGAAAAAAACCCAACACAAGTAGAACTGTCAGCCCGTGAAAAAGATCAATTAAATCTCCACATAACTGCATTATTCTGATGAAAGCAAGCATGACTGGTTTTCTTTAGGTGACGCATCTACATGGCAGAGCAGTACCATTTTAGAAAGAGGATTTCCTCCTGTGGGAGAGAGGATGCTGTACAAGCGCCACAGATGCCTTTTCTGAAATGCTCCCGACGCCTGTGGTTTTTATAATTTATTTACTTTAGTAAGCTGCAATAATCTGCACCGTAAATCGGAGCTAGCTTTGAAAACAAGATTTTATCAATTAATGAATGACATGTTGCAACGATACTTGCATTGTGTAAGGGAATGAGTCACTCACGGAGGAGAGGTTTTAAACCATGGGTGGGGAACCTGTGGTCCTCCAGATGATGTTGTCCAACAAAGCACATCATTCTAGCCACTGGCTATGCTGGCTTGGGGCTGAAGGGAGTTGGGAGTCTGGCTATCCAGCCCTGATTTAATCAAAGCACTAAATCAGGCTTCCTTAGCCTCGGCCTTCCAGATGTTTTGAGACTACAATTCCCATCATCCCTGACCACTGGTCCTGCTAGCTAGGGTTCATGGGAGTTGTAGGCCAAAAACACCTGGAGGGCTGGGGTTGAGGAAGCCTGCACTAAATGGAACCTTTGTGTCAAGAGGCAGACTGCCTCTGAGTATCAGGTGCATCTTAGAAAACAGGAGTTTTCTCCCCAGCCATTGCTGGGAACAGAATTCTGGACCACATGAACCTTTGGTCTACGATTCTAAACCAGGAGTATGGAAAAAGAATGCTACCGGCTGAAAGTCCTATCTCTTTTTTTTCTTTTTTGCTGTGAACCTGAGATCTTTGGATGAAGGGTGATATGCACATTTAATAATAAACTAAACAATAAATTAATACCTGCACTTTACCTGCTGTAAAGTGTCTCGTACTGGTCATTAACAACTCTTACCACACCTCCACCTTTTTTAGTCTGAGCTTCCGTTACTATGAAAACATTTTCATGCTATCTTTCCAAGTGTCCAGAGTGGCTGACACCCAGAGACTCAGCAGACGCTCATATTCATTTGTTACTCTCCGTAAACAGCATGAAAAACTTGAAACGAAAGCAAAAAGGTAGTAATCAGAAATTATTTTTCATTACTGTGCAGTCAAACAATGCCCAGTTGCAGAAAAGAAGTAAAATACTCCAAGAAAGACTTGCAAAAGATCCTGACACCACATTAGGAATTCAAAATATTCCAGCTGCTAAACCAGGGATGGGGAACCTGTGGCTCTTCAGATGTGAGTTTTCCTTCTGCCAGCAGCCCCCTTCCCAATGTCCCTTCAATAAACTCTCAATGCCTTCTCTGAGGCATGAGAAGACCCTGTGAGATATGAGAAGTAAAAACTGACTGCCTCTGTTGCTTTGTGCCTCTGCTGGTCTTGGCCAAAGCTGAAAGCATCTTCATATCAGCCTGGATAAGCTCATTTGGTTAGAGCATGGTGCTGATAACACCAATGTTGCAAGTTCGATTCCTGTATGGGATAGCTACGTATTCCTGCATTGCAGGGGGTCAGACTAAATCTCCCTTCCAATTCCACAATTCTATGATTTCTATCTCCGTCTCAAGACATTTGCTAAAAGACAAACCTTTCATATTCTTTCACTTGGTAACAAGTTGTGTTTCCTGTTACGGATCAAATTATGTGGAAAACCTTTCTGCCCGTCCTCTAAAAATGTTGCAACTCTAAAATCAGTTATGTAGTAGGAAGGGAGAAGTTTGAGCAATACAGGGTCTTCATTCGTGTGCATGAAGGGTTTGCCCTCTCCCTTCCCTCCCACATCAGCACAGCCAATGGTCAGGAATGATGGGAACTGTAGTTACAGCATCTGAAGAGCCACTAATACTCAATCCTGGGCCTAAACTATGAAGGCCTCACCATATATTACCCCCCCACACACAAATAAACACTGAGAAGAGAAGCTTTATGTATTTTATTCTTTTCCAAAAGCAGAGGGTTGACAACATGGAATTTGGCTGACATTATGAACAAGTTCAATACTGATAATGGATGGTCAGTCTATCAACCTCACTGCTCACTTATAAAAAAAAGAAAAAGAAAGGGCTGTGTCCTTTTCACCCATTACTTTTCACAATCTATCCAGGATGAAGTGGTAGGAAGCACTCCCCACACCCTCACACACAAATTTTGGTAGCAGAAGTCAAGATGCCTCGGGAATCAAAAACTCCACGGTGCAGAAAAGAAAGCTATGCTTGCCACAGATCAAGTCCGATAGGGATCAATCCTTATTGAAAAAGGCATAGAAAAGATTCTCCCATGTGGGAAAAAAGGACACACAAGACTCAGAAGAGACTCTTGTGTTCTCTCTGCAAAGACCTTACCTATATACAGTGGTGCCCCGCAAGACGGAAAACCCGCTAGACGAAAGGGTTTTCCGTTTTGGAGGTGCTTCGCAAAACGAATTTCCTATGGGCTTGCTTCGCAAGACGAAAATGTCTTGCGAGTTCTTGCGGGTTCCCCCCCCCCTTTTTCCCAAGCCGCTAAGCCGCTTAACAGCTGATCGTTAAGCCGCTTATCAGCTGATCCGTTAAGCCACTAAGCCGCTTATCAGCTGATCTGCTAAGCCGCTTATCAGCTGATCCGCTAAGCCGCTAATAGCGCTAATCCGCTAAACCGCTAATGGGCTTGCTTCGCAAGACGAAAAAACCGCAAAATGAAGAGACTCGCGGAACGGATTCTTTTCGTCTTGCGAGGCACCACTGTACAGTACCAGCACTGTGATGTGCAACAGACGACTGGCCAACTCCAGAGCATCTTCCCCCAAGAAAAAGCATCACATATCAGAGCTCAGGAGAAGAGACCTCGCTTTGACCAGGCGGACTGGGCAACCTGAGCTCTGCATTGTTACGGACCACCGTGAAGAGGCTCACGACGGCCAAGAGGGCCATCACCATCATGACAGAGCAAATGGTGAACATGTTCCTGGTGCCTGTCTTGTAGTCGCTGTCGTGGAGGATCAGCAGGCCGAGGCAGGCCAGCAGGTTGAGTGGGACGCGGAACCAGTGCATGACACCTGCCTGGTCCTTCTCGGGGATCACCTTCTGCCGCAGAAAACCCATAGAAGGGAAGTAGAGCCCGCAAGACAGCTCAATAAGCAGGAAGGCCAAGAAGGACTCGGAAGGGTTCTCCTGCCCAGGGTTGGTAGAGAAAGTCAGCATGAAGAGGGAGAAGAAAACCATCAGGACCGAGAGGGAAAGGATGTGCATGGGCTGCAGGTGGTATTTCTTGGAGGTTGCAACGCGGTAGAGCGATGAGCCTGCCATGCTGGCCGCCATGAAACTAGAGAAGACTATGCCCAGGGGTGGGTTGTGGGGATCCAGGACGGGAGTCCAAAGGAAGATGAAGATGTAGATGACACTCTCAAACAAAGCCTGGATGGTACCCAAGAGCAAGACCCGGCGGTCTGAGAGGAGGCACTTCAAGGCATCAGTGCAAGTCCTGGAGATAGCCCTCTTCTTGCCATAATTTTCATCCCAGTTCTTCATCGCCAGGACACCCGCCAGCATGAGAAAGGGGATGGAGACCATGAAAGGGGCCACCGGGCCCAGCCCCAGCCATTCGGCAAAGACGTTGGCTACCACGCCGGCTCCGATAGCGATGATGCCATTCCAAAAAGCTGCCTTGGAGAAGGTAGTGGGGATCCACTCAGCCGGGAAGTCGTGGCGTTCCACGTGCTCATGGACGTACCACGCCTCGAAGGCGGAGAAGAGCAGGGCAGTGGACAGCCCCCCTAATATCCTTCCCACAATGAGAACAAAATAATCCCAGGAGAGCTTTGTGAGGCAGCAGACGGAGTAAGTCAAGGAGAAGAGGATGCAGGATTTCTTACGGCCCAGGCGGTCAACCAAGGAGCTGGAGACCAGCCCAAACAGCACGCTGGAGGCAAAGCCACAGACGTAGATGATGGTGATCTGAGCCTCCAAGAAGTGGTAGTGCTGGTACAGTTTATAGAGATAAGGTCCCTGCAGCCAATCAGCAGCAAGGGCCAAGAAGTAGACCTGGTAATAGTCTAGCTGGAACCGCAGGAAGGCTGGGTTGGAGCAAGACCTGCCGGTGATCTTGGAACGGCAGGCGGAGAACTCCAAGCCAATGCATATCAGCAGGAGGAAAGCAAAAGCAACATAGGCAGTGACCAGCATGGTGTTCTAAATCATCATGTGCAGTGCATCTCCCAAGATCTGCTCCCGACACACCTGAAAGAGAAGAAGGCAAGAGATACAGATGTGACAATTTGCACTAGGCAGCTTTGCAGCAAGACTTGGAGGTGGGCAGAGCAGAGTTTATCTGTGGTGCATTTACACTTCTGAAAAAGCTTAGCACAAACTGTATGTACTCGGTGCACACTTTTGTGCAGTCCTAACACTTTCACACACCCTGCACACTAAAGATGACACCCCACCCCACACCTTGCACAGACAAATCCTCTAAGCTCACCATTATGTTGGAAAGGCTGTGGAGAACGAGGTTCCTATATTCATGTGTGGTGGGAGTACCCTGTGGTCCATGCCTTTTGGGGGAAAGTTTTTAATCTGACCTCCAAAATCACTAAACAATCTATCCCTCCTAATTTGGCACTTGCCTTGTTATGATTAGATTTGACCGCAAATTCTACCCTTAAATCTAAATAATTAATTTCCTTCCTGTTCACAGCAGCTAGGCTAGTTATTGCCCAACAATGGAAGAAAACTTCTAATATACCAATAGAGGCTTGTGTTAATAACATCTGGAGCATTGCTCTGTCAAAATGCCTCACATACCATCAGTGACTAATCAAAGGCATCTCCAAAAAAGATACCTTTGACACAATCTGGTCTCCCTTTTTCTCTTCTATTGAAGAAGAACAGGATATTTTAATGCCACCATCATCATAGAAGTGTCTGTGGAGGGGATATATTGATTGAACATATATTGTATTATAACTGTATTGTAACTTTTGAATACATGTTTTTAAATGCATGAATGACGACACCCCAAATCTTTGAACACATTTTGAAACAATGAGTACATTAAGTGAACAATTTATTGCCCAGCCATCTGCAACAAATGGGAGTCACCTCCAGGTAACCAAGAAGAAAGTTTTGTGTAAACTAGAAGAGGATCAACTTCTCCTTTCATGCTACTAATATTTATAATACACTGCTAAATGAGCCTTCCATTCATAAGCAATATAGCTCTAAGTACCAAAATGCTGGCTGTACACAACAAAAGACAAATCATCTTCAGGCTGTTTGTGAAGTGTCCTAGAGCAATGCTTCTCAACTGTTTTCTAACCCATGTTCCACCTTTGCAATTACAGAAACCCCACACCTCCCCTCTTATTTTAATTGCATTTTTAAATGGATGTAAATTGCATAAACTTGATTATTATTATTTTACTCATATTGTACATATTCTTTGGGAACACTCAGGTCCCACCCACCTGCCCAATATATTCATATGCTTCACTAGTGGAAAAACACTGTTCAAGAGGGACTCTAGGAGAGTAGTGGACTAGGTGAAACTTTGATCTTCTCCAGCAGGGCAATTCTTATGTTCACAAGCTACATAGTGGTATTTCTGAACATACAAGGTGGTGTGCGTGTAACAACAGGGCTAGCTTCCACGTGTACTTTAGCTTATCTTTCAATCAACAGACTAGAATTGCAAACGAGACAGAGTGTAAAAGCATAAGCATATGGAGATTAGAGGCAAAAAGGGGTTAAGGAACCTAATGTTCCCTAACCTAACCAGGGACGCGGGTGGCGCTGTGTTCTAAACCACTGAGCCTCTTGGGCTTGCCGATCAGAAGGTTGCCAGTTCGAATCCCCATGATGGGGTGAGCTCCTGTTGCTCTGTGCCAGCTCCTGCCAACCCAGCAGTTCGAAAGCACACCGGTGCAAGTAGATAAATAGGTACCGTTGTGGCGGGAAGGTAAATGGTGTTTCCGTGTGCTCTGGTTTCCGTCACGGTGTTCCATTGCACCAGAAGTGGTTTAGTCATGCTGGCCACATGACCCAGAAAGCTGTCTGTGGACAAACGCTGGCTCCATTGGCCTGAAAGCAAGATGAGCGCCACAACCCCATAGTCATCTTTGACTGGACTTAACCATCCAGGGGTTCTTTACTTTTTACCTAACCTATAACCTCAAGATTGTCCTGGACTTCTAACTGGCATCAATTCCAGCCAGCAGGGTCAGAGATGAAGTATCGAACAATATCTGGAGGACCGCAGACTCTCCACCCCCAGGATAGGGGAATGGGGAGCAATGCTGGGCATTCAAGCCCAAGTGAGAAGGGAAGAGACAGCTTTGTTCTACTGATAAAGCCAAATTACTTTAAGATTTTTCCCCACCACCATGAAAGATACAATCCATGCCTCCCCCCACCCCCACTCCTCAAAGCTAAGAAAGAGAAATTGAGTGAGCCTGAGATTACTAGAGGCTGTTACAGCCAAGTATTCCTCATGTTGTTTCAAATGCTTCCCATACGAGCAGTGAAAAACAAGCTCAACCAGCTAAACTAGCCATCTCCTCCACCACACAGCTTGGGAGCAATCAAGAACAACTTTTTGGCTGAACTACAAAACTGTCTCCCAAGGACTCCTTTGCAGCCTGTTATTAAAATGTCTGTAATACCTCTACAGCCAGGAGGCAGAAGCCACTAAAAATATCTGCGAGTGTAATATTATTTCAGCAATCCTGAATTACAACTTTCCTACAACTCAGCTATGGAGCTTGTAGCTCTCATGTTAACCTGATAAGGATCAACATCCACACCTTACCTCTATGCAAATATTAACAATGAAAACCAGAAAGAGCAATTGTAAACGCATATTGTTTCCTCACAAACCCATAATGTTTTGCCTCCGTAACCTTCCATTGTATAACTAATTATCACTGATCCCTAAAAATGTGAATCTCTCTATTTACTGGTCAAACCCTAGGCAGGTTTTCAATTTATGCTCAACTCCTCACCAGATTCATGGCATCAGATTCATCTCCAGTACCTGTAGGAGATTATCTTTAGAACAGAACAGCCACCTGCTTCACAATGGTATTAGGAGAATAGAGGAACTAAGAGTATTTTATTTTCCCAAGCTTTAGAGGGGCAGCACAGTTTAGATCTAAAGAAAGCATGAACGGGCTTATTTGGCTTTTGCAATCAGATTTAGGAAAGTGTGGAAGTGTGGCAACCTAAAACCAGTGCTTTTTTAGGGAGAACTAACCAGAACTCCGTGGGACACGGGTGGCGCTGTGGGTAAAAGCCTCAGCGCCTAGGACTTGCCGATCGCATGGTCGGCGGTTCGAATCCCCGCGGCGTGGTGCGCTCCCGTCGTTCGGTCCCAGCGCCTGCCAACCTAGCAGTTCGAAAGCACCCCCGGGTGCAAGTAGATAAATAGGGACCGCTTACCAGCAGGAAGGTAAACGGTGTTTCCGTGTGCTGCGCTGGTGCTGGCTCGCCAGAGCAGCTTCGTCACGCTGGCCACGTGACCCGGAAGTGTCTGCGGACAGCGCTGGCTCCCGGCCTATAGAGTGAGATGAGCGCACAACCCTAGAGTCTGGCAAGACTGGCCCATACGGGCAGGGGTACCTTTACCTTTAACCAGAACTCAGTTCCAGCACCTCTCAGGTGGGTTCCAGCACCTCCCAGGTAAGTTCTGGCAGCTCTCAGACGGGTGCCATTGCCATTCTAAGAGAAAGAGAGAGGTGTTCATCGTGAGTTCCGGCACCTCATTTTCCGGAAAAATAGCACTGCCTAAAACCATGTAATAATACCTTATTTGTTTTTTAACTGTGATTTATTAACTCAAAAGTATTAGTTACAGAAAATACACTGTACTAACAACGCAGTCCTGTGCACCCAGAGTGGCTGGAGCAACCCAGTCAGATGGGCAGGGTACAAATAATAAAATTATTATTATTATTATTATTATTATTATTATTGGGAAGTATGTCCCATTTAACTCAACGGGGCTTACTTACAGGAGGCAAGTGTGCAGCCTAAGCAAATTAAGGCAGGCAATGCCAACACCGTGTCCTCAAAACAATTCATGTGTACAGATTTACCGTATTTTTTGCACCATAACAGTCACTTTTTTCCTCCTAGAAAGTAAGGGAAAATGTCTGTGCGTGTTATGGAGGGAATGCCTACGGGTGACGGGGGGATCTGCTGCAGTCGTGAGCAGAGGATCCATGGCTCCCCTTCCTTCCCTCCTCCGTGGCTTGCTTTGAAACAGTAAAGCGGGAGAAGAGCCGCTGAGTGGGGAGGAGAGGGGGACAGAGAGCCTGCTTGCTTTAAAGGAGCAAAGTGGGAGAGGAGAGGAGCCTTCTCCCCTTATACCCCTCTTCTACATTATTAGCAGCATCCTTCTCCACACACCCCGCGTGTGTTCCTTCTCCCCTTAAACCCCTCTTCTGCATTATTAGCAGCATCCTTCTCCACACACCCCACGCGTGCTCCTTGTCCCTTGAGTGCTTTTCCTTCCCTCCCCACTTAAAACGTGGTTAGAAACCACGGATCAACATGGATCCTCAGGATTTTTGCACTGGGTCACCCCAAATTCACCATCAGATCACATAGCATGTCCATGGCTACATCTTGCACCAAAAAAATCACACACCCACTGTTGCCTGGGGTGCAAAAACGTGGTTACAAAGCATGGATCCTCAGGATTTTTGCATTGGGCTACTCCAAACTCACTGTCAGATCACATGTCTGTGGCCACAGCATGAACCACAAAAATCATACATCCACTGTTTCGTTTAGAATATTTTTTTTCTTGTTTTCCTCCTCTAAAAACTACGTGCGTGTTATGGTCAGGTGCGTGTTATAGAGCGAAAAATACGGGTAGGTTAAGCTATTAGCTCCCATGCCGCAGCAGCTCAGGAACAGAAGACACTTTGGCTAAGCCTGAGAGGGGGGCAGGCTTCGATACACCTCCTCCCCATATAGCCCAAATCCCTACACACACATAGTAGGATGGCGCTTCTGAGGCGAAACAGAGAAAAGTTCTCTCCACACCACCACCCAGGGGAGATGGCTGCATGCAGAGCTAGGGTTGTCACCTGTCCTGTATAATTCAGGATTGTCCCATATTTCAATGCAAAATGCTACGTCCTGTATTGCTAGTTCAGGTCTTTTCTCTCTTTCTATCGAGGTCAGCCTGGATAGCTCAGTTGGTCAGAGTGAGGTGCTGATAATGCCAAGGTTGCAGGTTCCATCCCCGTATGGGATGGCTGCATATTCCTGTACTGCAGCGGGCTGGGACTCGATGATCCCCCGGGTCCCTTCCGACTACAGTGGCCCCTCGGGTTAAGAACTTAATTCGTTCTGGAGGTCTGTTCTTAACCTGAAACTGTTCTTAACCTGAAGCACCACTTTAGCTAATGGGGCCTCCTGCTGCTGCCGCACCGCCGGAGCACGATTTCTGTTCTCATCCTGAAGCAAAGTTCTTAAGCTGAGGCAATATTTTTGGGTTAGCGGGGTCTGTAACCTGAAGTGTATGTAACCTGAAGCGTATGCAACCTGAGGTGCTACTGTACATACATGATGATAATGATAATAATAATAATTTATTATTTATACCCCGCCCATCTGTCTGGGTTTCCACATGATTCTACGATTCTCTCTGTCCCTCTCTCTGCCAAGTTAGGGAACCTTTGCAAAGGCGGGTGTGCAAAACGTCATGCAGCAGAGTCAAGCGCAGCCAGATTTACAAATTCATATCGTGCGTAAGAACCTTTTAATGAGGGTGAAAGAGGAGAGCGCAAAATATGGTCTGAAGCTCAACATCAAAAAAACGAAGATCATGGCCACTGGGCCCATCACCTCCTGGCAAATAGATGGGGAAGAAATGGAGGCAGTGAGAGATTTTGCTTTCTTGGGCTCCATGATCACTGCAGATGGTGACAGCAGCCACGAAATTAAAAGATGCCTGCTTCTTGGGAGAAAAGCAATGAGAAACCTAGACAGCAGAGACATCACCACCTTGCCAACAAAGGTCCGTATAGTTAAAGCTATGGTTTTCCCAGTAGCAATGTATGGAAGTGAGAGCTGGACCATAAAGAAGGCTGATCGCCAAAGAATTGATGCTTTTGAATTCTGGTGCTGGAGGAGACTCTTGAGAGTCCCATGGACTGCAAGAAGATCAAACCTATCCATTCTTAAGGAAATCAGCCCTGAGTGCTCACTGGAAGGACAGATCGTGAAGCTGAGGCTCCAATACTTTGGCCACCTCACGAGAAGAGAAGACTTGCTGGAAAAGACCCTCATGTTGGGAAAGATGGAGGGCACAAGAAGAAGGGGACGACAGAGGACGAGATGGTTGGACAGTGTTCTCGAAGCTACCTGCATGAGTTTGACCAAACTGCGGGAGGCAGTGGAAGACAGGAGTGCCTGGCATGCACAACTGTGTGTGAGTGATAAGATTGTACAGTGGTACCTCGGGTTACAGACGCTTCAGGTTACAGACGCTTCAGGTTACAGACTCCGCTAACTCAGAAATAGTACCTCGGGTTAAGAACTTTGCTTCAGGATAAGAACAGAAATCGTGCTCCGGCGGCAGCAGGAGGCCCCATTAGCTAAAGTGGTGCTTCAGGTTAAGAACAGTTTCAGGTTAAGAACGGACCTCCAGAACGAATTAAGTACTTAACCCGAGGTACCACTGTAATGGATTGGGGGGGGGGGAGGGGAAATAAATCGCACCCCAGAACAAAGGTGGCAGCCCTAATGCGAGAGTGTCCTCCACCCGCATCTCCAGAGCGGGAAGGGGAGGAAGCAACACGCCCTTCCCCGACCCCCGCTTCTCGCAGGGCCCCCTCCCCACATTCCTGCCCCGCCAACGAGGTCGCCTCTCTCGCCCAGCCCTCTTCGCTTCCGACCCTTCGGCCTGAGGGAGGGGAATTCCCCTCCCCCAGCCGCCCCCCCGGACTCCCCCTCCCCCCGGCCCTTCCCTTTACCTACCTGCATGGGTCTCTCTCCGGCTCCCCTCCCCTCAGTCCCGTTCTCTCCACCTGGGGGAGCTCAGGCTGCACGCCCGACGCCTCGCTTCCGCTTCCGGAGCCGCCGCGCTGCCTGTCACGTGGCCGCCGGCCGCGCGCTCGGCCTGTCGCGAGCCCGCCCCCTGGAGGCGAGCGCCGCGAATGCAGGCTGCTTGCGGCGCCAACTGTATTAAGCGCCCGGTCCGTCCTGCTTTTTATTTAATACAAATTTATTTAATAAAAATTTAGCAGCAGCAGCAGCAACAACAACTTTAATTTAACAGCAGCAGCAATAACAAGAAGGATTTCTTGTAAGAAGAGGATTTGATTTTTATGCCGCTCCACCACGTATTAAAAAAAGTACCTCTAGAGAAAACTGAAGCGGTGGCGGACAGTTCAACCAAAATATGGCAAAAAATACGCAGGTACATAAAAAACAACATTGCATTAATACGAAATCAAGATAAGAAACTTTTTTTATAGAAAAGAATGGAAATGGTTTATTGAATCTTTACAAACAAACTGTGAATGAAGTTGGCATCACTGATGTTTCTTTTTCTTTGCTGAATGGATTTTCCACATTAAGAGGAATTTTTTTAAAAAAAGATACAGGCTGGAATTATTATCACAATGACATTATCAGCCCAGACACTGAGATCCAGCGCTGAGGGCCTTCTGGCGGTTCCCTCATTGCGAGAAGTGAGGTTACAGGGAACCAGACAGAGGGCCTTCTCGGTAGTGGCGCCCGCCCTGTGGAACGCCCTCCCTTCAGATGTGAAGGAAATAAGTACCGTATTTTTTGCTCTGTAAGACTCACTTTTTCCCTCCTAAAAAGTAAGGGGAAATGTGTGTGCGTCTTATGGAGCGAATGCAGGCTGCGCAGCTGTCCCAGAAGCCAGAACAGCAAGAGGGATTGCTGCTTTCACTGCGCAGCGATCCCTCTTGCTGTTCTGGCTTCTGAGATTCAGAATATTTTTTTTCTTGTTTTCCTCCTCCAAAAACTGGGTGCGTTTTGTGGTCTGGTGCGTCTTATAGAGCGAAAAATTCGGTAGGTATCTTATCTTTAAAAGACATCTGAAGGCAGCCCTGTTTAGGGAAGTTTTTAATATTTAATGCTGTACTGTATTGTTTTTAACACTCAATTGGAAGCCGCCCAGAGTGGCTGGGGAAACTCAGCCAGATGGGTGGGGTATAAATAATAAATTATTATTATTATTATTATTATTATTATTATTATTTGGGTGGTGTAAAAAAACACAAAACTTTGTATATGTATGCGCAGCCACGATTCCACAACAAATCTCCAATCTGGAAGCACCCTAACTGTCAGTACAGAAAGACCATGCAAGCATGGTCTACAGTGGTACCTTGGTACTCAAACGCCTTGATACTCAAATATCTTGGAACCCAAACACTGCAAACCCAGAAGTAAGTGTTCCAGTTTGTGAACTGTTTTTGGATGCCGAACATGTTCCATTTTGAGTGCCACACTTCCATTTTGGGTGTTACACTTCCGATTTGAGTGTTAATGCTGAGTTCTGTCCGTTTTTGCTATTTATTTTATTTTTTTGTTTTTGTGACTGTGTGGAACCTAGTGTAGCTACTGATTGATTGATTGTGTGTCTGCAGTACAGTGGTACCTAGGGTTAGGTACTTAATTCGTTCCGGAAGTCCGTTCTTAACCTGAAACTGTTCTTAACCTGAAAGCACCACTTTAGCTTATGGGGCCTCCTGCTGCTGCCGCGCCGCCGGAGCACAATTTCTGTTCTCATCCTGAAGCAAAGTTCTTAACCTGAGGTTAAGGTTAGAGGAGTCTGTAACCTGAAGCATATGTAACCTGAAGCGTATGTAACCCGAGGTACCACTGTATTACTTTCATTTTATGAATCAATGGTCTTGTTAGACAGTAAAATTCATGTTAAATTGTTGTTTTAGGGGTTGTTTTTAAAAGTTTGGAACGGATTAATCCATTTTGTATTACTTTCTATGGGAAAACATGCCTTTGTTTTGGAACGCTTTGGTTTTGGAACGGACTTCCGGAACGGATTAAGTTTGAGAACCAAGGTACCACTGTAAAGGAACCAAGGTACAGTACCAGTGTAAAGACCTTTAACGTTGTTTCAAAGCTTCAGATTATATGCTTAGCCACTAGGTGGCAGAAAATCCACAGTGAAGTAGTCTGTAGTTCAACATGGCGAGATTGCCTTGTGTTTTGTTTTATGGGAGGTGAAAGGTGCACTGGGACAGAGGCTATATAACTACCTTGGCCCTGGCTGCAGTACTTGGGAGTCAGTGTTGATTTGAATTGCCTTCAATGCACATCTGGCTTGTGCTGTCTGCTCTGAATCCCGTCTGGGGATTCATTTGCACAAGGAAAGTTAATGCGGTTAATTTCCTCCCTGCCAGCTCTGCTCCCAATTGCACTAAAACACACGTGTTAATAAGAACCCAGTGAGTCGAACATCTGGCAGCCACGCTTTGAAATGTGCCTTCCCCCAAAAAGTATTATTAATTCCCCCAAATAAAGTGATTAATTATTGTTAGTGAAGCTACAGGGAACCAAGGACAGGGCCTTCTCGGTAGTGGTTTTTTATGCTTTTGCTCTGTTTTTACTAAGTTTTAAATGCCTTTACAGTGGTACCTCGGGTTACATACGCTTCAGGTTGCATACGCCTCAGGTTACAGACTCTGCTAACCCAGAAATAGTACCTCGGGTTAAGAACTTTGCTTCAGGATGAGAACAGAAATCGTGCGGCGGCGCCACAGCAGCGGCAGGAGGCCCCATTAGCTAAAGTGGTACCTTAGGTTAAGAACAGTTTCAGGTTAAGAACGGACCTCTGGAACGAATTAAGTACTTAACCCGAGGTACCACTGTACTATGTTTTTATATATGCTGTAAGCCACCCAGAGTGGCTGGGGAAACCCAGCCAGATGGGTAGGGTATAAATAATTAAAAAAAAAATTATTATTATCATCATCATCCTGGGAACTGTAGTTCATCGAGTGTGCTGGGAATTGTAGCTCTGTGGTAGGCAAACTACAGTTACCAAGAATCTGTGGGGGAAGAAAAGTGCTTTAAGTGTGGAGTATGGCTGTGACCTATTAAACTAACTGCCAGGGAATACAAAATTCCAACCTTCATTCTCATTTGTGCCTTTGTGACCTCCTTTACTGTTCTGCACTGTTTTGTACTTTTGGTTTTGTGTGTTTGCATGTAGGACTGCTGCTTCTTTACAGGCTGTTAGGGATGCAAGCATTTAACACGTGATTCCATCTCTGTCTCCACCAAGAAGCTGTCTGTGCCTGCCGAATGTTTATCTGCTACACAGCTATACACAGTTACCATCGGGGGGGGGACACAGTGGTTCGCAATGCGCTATGTGCTTGTGCATGATTGCATTCTCCTGTAGGCCATATTAGGAAAATAGTACTATTTGTAAATTCACAGTCATACCTCGTGTTGTGTTAGGTTCATGTTGTGCCTTTTCAGCTTGCGAACACGGCAAACCCGGAAGTGTATACTTCTGGGTTTCGCCACACATGCGCAGAAGCGCTGTATCGCGCAGAAGCGGCACTCTAGTTATGGACTTTTCAGGGTGCGAACGGCACCCCGGAACGGATCGAGTCCGTAACTAGAGGTAAAGGTAACGGGACCCCTGACCATTAGGTCCAGTCGTGGCCAACTCTGAGGTTGCAGCGCTCATCTCGCTTTATTGGCTTTGGGACCCGGCGTACAGCTTCCGGGTCACGTGGCCAGCATGACTAAGCCGCTTCTGGCGAACCAGAGCAGTGCATGGAAACGCCATTTACCTTCCCGCTGGAGTGGTACCTATTTATCTACTTGCACTTTGATGTGCTTTCGAACTGCTAGGTTGGCAGGAGCAGGGACCGAGCAATGGGAGCTCACCCCGTCAGGGGGATTCGAACTGCTGACCTTCTGATCGGCAAGTCCTAGGCTCTGTGGTTTAACCCACAGCGCCACCCGCGTCCCAACTAGAGGTATCACTGTACTAAAATAGTAAATTATGCAAAAATATTCAAAAATATGTAAGAGATCTTATTTTTCTCCCAGCTGAGACACAGGTTTACTCTAAGGAAGATTATATTATATGGCTTCAGTAACAGGGCCAGCTCCACAAATCAAAGCGGTCATCTGGGGACACATGGCATAAGGTGATCCAGCAAGTAAACGGCTCCCAAGCTATTAAGGGCTTTATATGCTAATAGCAACACCTTGAACTTGGCCTGCTAGCAGATTGGGAACCGTTGAACTTTGACTGATCTTAATACACATGAATCAAATCAGAGCCTGGATTTGCAATCGGAGACCCTTCTCCATTTTCCCCCTGCGAGGAAGATGTCGCAGGTGGCGACCTGAGAAAGGGCCTTTTCAGTGGTGTCCCCCCCAAAAATTTGTAGGGTGCTCCCGTCAGGGAAGCACATCTGGCACCATCACTATCTGTTTTTAGGCACCAGGTAGAAACATTTTTATTCACCTAGGCTTTTGGACCTGAAATTGGAGAGTGAGGCATGCGCAAGTGGCGGAACCCGGAAGTAACATGCTCCATTACTTCCGGGTTGCCGCGGAGCGCAACTCAAACGTGCTCATCCCGAAGCACATTCAACCCGAGGTATGACTGTTGCTATGGCCATTGGCTAATACGAATAAAGTTTTATCTTATCTTATCCTTATCCCATGTTTGCCTTTCTCATTTAAAGCGGGTGCAGGGAACCTTTGGCTCTCTAGATGTTGCTGAACTACAACTCCCATTATCCCTGGCCATGCACCATGCTGCCCGGGGCTGATGAGAGCTGGAAGCCAGCAAGACGTAGAGGGCACTCTGCGTTGGCTACTGCTGATCTAGAAGTATTTACACTTTCTGGGCAGCCGCCAGATCCTTCCTGCATTCTGTACAACCTGTAGTGCATAACTGGGGCTAAAGAAATCAGCTGTAAACAGCCACAGCCAGGGGTTTCAGGAAGCCGCAGGCAACCCAGGCACATTGTGTGCCGCTGTGTCTCTGGGAAGCCACTCAGAGCCGAGGAAGGAAGGGGTTAGGTGAGGTTGCTCAGTTCCACAACCA